AACTAGTCAGTATTGTGGGATGATAGCAGACGAAATGTCGTCAACAAGTCAAAACCAAATGTCAGCTGATACATCTTCTTATTACTGTAAAATATAGTCAAAGAGTAGTAAGAAATTTTATTTTAATCCCTTCAAGTGCCTGTGATTATTTCATATAATAGGTGCTTAACAACTAAAAGAGCGCTGACCATAAGAGACTAGTTGGACAGTTTTGGGCTTTAAAAGTAGTTTATTATATACACGTAATGCTCGAACAGGTGTATACAGTTCTTAAATTGTTAAAAAATTTAAAAGTAAGCAATAAAATCTTAAAATCGAGCTACCTACAATCAAAATTCAGCCATTCAAACTACCGACTGTCGAGATTTGACCGTATAACTATTCAAACTACCCACTGTTGAGATTCGACCATATAATCATTAAAATTATCGACTGTCGCGTTACCACCATATAACCATGCACACTATCGACTGTTGATGTACAATTTTACACTTTGACTACTAGTATCCTTTCGTGTAATACACTTTTTGATTTTCGTACAATTTAGTACGAACTGTTTTTATATGCTTAGCTACGATTGTGTTGTACTTGTGATATTAAATACATAAACATTTTGTTATAAGGCCGCTGGTCGTCATTTGAATATTAGAAAAAAATACAAACTGCTTTAATATATTATAGCTAATATCGTGTTGTACTTTTGTTTGTGGTATTATTAAATACAGAAACATTTTTTTTTTTTTAATTTTAGTATTTAGTACATACTGTTTTAATATATTATAGCTAGTATTGTGTTGTACTATTGTTTTTCGTTTCAATTTAGAATTCAGTATAAACTGTTATAATATTGTATGTGAAATTAATTACATTTGCTTTCTTGCATTCATGTCAACATGCTGGTAACAATTTATCTAATTCGGACATTATCGTATCCTTTATCTCTGTCACTGCTAAATCCACGCTAAAATAAACTCAAATTGAAATACCCAAAACCTTTTCAGTGTTTTAAGAAAAGCCAGTAAATACAAGAACTTAAAATTGCTCTTCGTTATTTTCCCCCATACTTTCCCAACAAGTCCCAAAGAACAGTGTGACACCTGTAAGTTGCGTGTTCATGAAATGTGCATGGCAGCGACAACCCATGATTATGGGTTTAATCTCTAAAAAAACAACTAACAGAACTATGCCGCACCAAGAACAGTTTAACAATTATTGTGTGCTTGCACTAGAGAAGTGAATTACTGGTCGAATAAATTTGGTTTCCATAGCCTGTGATAACAAGTGCGGTTTGTGCGACAAAAAAGGCGTTTTATTTTTGATGTCTTATAGACTATATATTATACGTGTGTTTATAACATGTGCTTCTGAGCCTTTGAGAATATAGACGGCTATATACACACATATTAAAGTCGCAATGCGTCATTTTACCGCATAGGAATCCCTCGCAAACTACATTATTGTGAAATATGAGTCTCCGACTCCTAATAGAAATATGATCAAATTACCCATTTACCCAATCCTAAAATAAAAAAAAGCCAAGTTACATATTAAATGTCGCTATGATATTTTTTCGCATCTACGCCGCTCCTCTGTGGTCGTATACCATCTTATCATTACTATCATATTCACACAGTGCGAATCGCCCAGTTAGCAGTACTAGTGCGTGGGGCCACAAACTGTCCAAAAATTTCTGTCAACTAACACAAAACGGCCGGAAATGACAGGCAGATCTCGAGATTCTCTCCCGTTCTGTTCTTTTGGTTCACAAGAATTTGCTCCCTCCCAGCAAGGACCTCAAAAACCAGGATATTGTCTCAAATTTTCAAAGTCTTCTCAAGGGAACACACCACCCCTCCCGCCTTCAGGTCCCTGCCTCTAATATTGACAAAACATTTATAAAAAAAATCAGTAACAGTGATAATATGACATTAACTGCTTTTCGGCGAGATAACGAACGGCCAACAAAACTATATGTTATTTTGATGACATTCATCGTGGGGTGGGATTGTGGATTGTGCTTTAGATTTGGTACCCCCCCCCCCCCTCCCCATTATTCGCAGCTTCTAGATCCTCTACTCGACCATTCCACCCAACCCCTATAAAAAATCTTGAGCAGGCCCTGGAGGTTAAAGTTTTCATCCGAGTGACTTGGAATTTACATTTACATTAGTGAAACGAAGTATCGGTTCATTATATAGTACAGTACAACTAAAGAAGCCGCTGGTTAATATCAATGATGTCAAGTACTATTTGAGAGTGGGAAAGTAACATACCAGGTATTTATAAATAAGGTAAGTATTACACCTGTAACCAGGGCCGTAACTGTCTCAGAGTAACGAGGGGGACGGGAAGTGTTCTCTCAGGGGTGCTGTAAAATTGTGCCTGTAACACAAAATACTCGTCCATGAACACTAGATAAGAGAGAACATCTCTTAGCTCCCCTGTGCACTAGCTTTTCAGATCCCTTAAAGAATGCCCTGTGGAGAATTTTGATATGTGGGATTATAGAGTTATTGCCCTTGATTAGGTCATACAATCGTCTCAAATCGCCACTTGTGTTGTTGTTATATCTGGTTCGCAGCTCATTCTCTGGTGGTTCGATCGCTCGTTTTATTAAGATTAGACTATGCATTAGTTTGTTATTTGGAATATCCCACAAACTGAAAACAAAATTCCAAACCGTTCAAAATACTGCAGTTCCGATCATCAGTCGCTTACCCAGGAACTCGCATATTAAAAAAGCACTCAAAGAAATTTATCGGCGACCAATTAAATTAAAGGACAATATTGGTGCCAGTCATTATAATATATGTGATAGAACTGGTTAAACACGTTCAAAATATTATTTTATCGCAGAGATCATTGCTACGATAGATGTGACGAACGAAAAGGGAAAACACGAGTTATCCCTCTATATAACTGACTGAAGTGACGTGTGATAATAGATACATAGGCGAATTTCAGCTACTAATAATTTCTTCGATAACCAAAAGTTGTTATGAGCCTGTAAGAGGATGTCTGAGAATTCAAAAAAAGTAACTGAATAACATTAGATAAGAGAACACGAGAAAAAAAGAAATAGTCCGTACATTCCCTTGAGTTTATTCATTCTATACTTATAAAAACATGGTAATGCACGGATTTTTTCTGTTTTTCTTTCATGTTCTCTTATCTAGTAACAGTCAATTTTTTTTTTATAAATTGTCGGATATCCTTTCACAGTCTGACACCCTGAACATTAAACTATCATCCAGTCTAGAAACATTCAAAAATGATTTAAAAAATCATTTAGTTATGGCAGCCATACTGTGTAGCGCCTTGCGCATGTATGGAAGCATGGAACTGTGCTCGGTATAAATACACAGGTACATGAGGACAGGAGCGCCTTTCTTATGCCTATGGTGCACCTTTGTCACATGTGATTTTTTCAAAGATTTTTACATCGTTTTTTTTCTTCATATTTTAAATTTGTTTTTAATCTTCTTTACTTTTCTTCCTATTTATTGCTAAACAGGTATGCTATAACGAAATATTTATATAATTCATAATTGTATTGGACGTTAAAATTGTAATGAACTAAAGCAACAATAAACTAAAACCAGCGGCTGCCAGGCAGGATACGCCCACATTTTCGAGAGATGGATAGAGAACAAGCTAACAAGAAAGTGATTTTTCCTACAATCAAGGGCCATAATTCAGGAAATTACAATTCGATATGCGCAAATATCGAAAGGAACTGAGATCTTTGTGTTATAAACTTACATTTCAAGTTTCAACAAAATCGGATAAAAATTGTGACCTCTATAGGGTCCACAACCTTGATATACCATATTTTTACGCTATTTGAGAACGAACGGCAGCCATTTTGTCTGTCAATTTTGGGCTGATTTTCACGAAATTCGAACTCAGCCGTCCTTAGGGTGTAACGGTGATATAATAATACGTTTATTTAAATCAGATAAAAATTATGACCTCTATATGGTCCACAAGCTAAAAACTCGATTTTTCGTACAATCAGGGGCCATAATTCAGGAAGTTACGGTCCGATATGCGTGAATATCGAAAGGAACCGAGATCTTTGGGTTATAAACTTACATTTCAAGTTTCAACAAAATCGGATAAAAATTGTGACCTCTATAGGGTCCACAACCTTGATATACCATATTCTTACGCTATTTGAGAACGAACGGCGGCCATTTTGTATGTCAATTTTGGGCCGATTTTCACGAAATTCGAACTCAGTCGTCCTTAGGGTGTAACGGTCATATAATAATACGGTTTTTTAAATCGGATAAAAATTATGACCTCTATAGGGTCCACAATCTAAAAACGCGATTTTTCGTACAATCAGGGGCCATAATTCAAGAAGTTACGGTCCGATATGCGCGAATATCGAAAGAAACCGAGATCTTTGGGTTATTAACTTACATGTGAAGTTTCAACAAAATCGGATAAAAAATTGTGACCTCTATAGGGTCCACAAGCTAAAAACGTGATTTTTTTCGTACAAACAGGGGCCATAATCCATGAAGTTTCGATCCGATACATGCCGATATCGAAAGCAGCCGAGATCTTTTGGAGATAAACCTATATTTCAAGTTTCGTCAAAATCGGATAAGAATTGTGACCTGTAGAGTGTCCACAAACAAATTGTGGACGGACGGACGGACAGGGGCGACGGCATAATACGTCCACATGAAAATGTGGGCGTATAAAAAGGCAAGAGGGGTTGGCTAGTAGTACTGGTCTTACGTCAGGATACGTTAAAAACACTTTACTATATACTTTCTTATGTACCATATGTTGATAAATGTACATCGCTGTCTTATTCGAGTCGGCTATAGAGTTCAATCATTCGACACCAACATATATTATGCAAAGTCACAGTGATCCAACACAGCAAAGCGATAACAATATGCATAACCTATTTTGTCCTGTATTATATATTGTGATGTAAGGGTTATGTGCATGTATATAAACTATCTTATATTAAACGAGAGGCGATAGCTCGACATAAACCACGTCATTTCGGGGCTAAGCTAGGTATTGAAGCCAGGGCCAGTGTTCAATGGAAATCGTAAGTCTAAGTTAGTCACTTAACTACTAGATTTCATTAATAAATATACGTAATTTCCTGTAAGTTAACGGTAAGTGGGATTCAAAGGCAATGTTCAACATCAACATCAACATTTTTCTAAAGTTAAACATACATTATGCAAGAGCAAAATCTGATTATTGCAAGTCTTAATTTAGGCTTCAGATGTTATAAAAATTATAAATTAGATCTTTATTTAATAAACAAGCCCAAAATCAACTCTGTAGACCCACGGATGGCTCGGCTACAGCTCGGATTTAAATAGGATTGCACTTATTGATTAATTCAAATATGGCGCACCCTGATGAGAATACGTCAGTTAGATCGAGACTAAATGATAGAGTTTATTTAGCGAGGCCGCTGTAGAGCGTTTCCGCATGCCATTGAAAACTTTACTTGATAATCGAGATATGTAGGTGGAGTTAACGCCTGTCAATCAAACGATCGGACAAGGTGAAGGCACATTTCACTACCATTTCTAGTCAAATATTACAACGATGATAACTATGTTCAGAATAAAGTAATTTGACTGAAATTTTCAATATATTCTTCTTTCATCATCTACTTTTGAACTGTTATAGCAAGAATGGCCAACTCTCTATAAAAATCTCCCATAATGTATCTTTAAGTTACATGTTTAGAGGCCTTCCACCAGAATTTCTAGCTTGCTTAGAAACACAATTTCGCATATTGCATCTCCTTGCTACACAAACTATATATTTTTGGAAAGCTTATAACACCAAGGACATAAATCCGGGAGTTCCGTGAAAAATGTTTGCTCAAATTCGCTTCAGGGCCTGATGAAACTCTTCATAATTGTCAAGTAAATTCTATATTTATACTAACAATTCTGAAGTTGACATAAATTAAATACTGGTTAGTGTATTGGTTAAATTTTGATTTAAACAAAAATGCCAAAAACAAAGAACAAGGGAACACGTTTAGGTCTAAATATTAAGGCCACCTGCAAACTTCGTCAAGGTCTAACGCTAAGCCTAGCCATAGCTCTAACCCACTATCTCGTCAACAATCACGTCCCCTAACCCTATTTACATCTAGCGACAGTGGCAAAATCTGCAGGTGGCCTTAATATTTAGATTTAACCAGGAAACACCCGGGATTTTGGAAATCAATTAACTGTACAAAGAACAAGGAGTTACCCCCATTTATGACAAATATCAATTATATTATTATTGATAACAGTATTTAGTTTAAACAATTTATTCGATAAACTGAATAGGATGTATACAAGTTCTTCCCAGAATTTGTTTCTGTTATAACCGTCGTAAACCTTTATTTCAGATAAGATTTGAGGCTAAAGTTCTAACAAATATTTGAATTAAAAATAGATATGGCCAAAACTAAATAATATTGTAATAGGAGTGACAATTGTAATGAAAGAATAAAAGAACTCAAATGGGATTTAATGTCTTACTATGCTGCTCCAATCCGTATAATGAAGACGAGCATACGCCATGCATTATAATTGGGGTTAAAAGTTGCAATGTAGCCTACATACAGTTAATATTCCTGTTTTCATACAGGTGTTATCAGTGCAAGGGTGCCGCGGTGACTCAGCAAGTGGCTGATTCACTTACCAGGAGGCGCGTGATTCGATGTCGGCATGTATCTGTGTTGGTGGTCTAAGTCCTTTCAGTTGCAGGTACTTGGTGACTGTCCTATTGTCAGTTTTATTCGTATATGATGTCAATGGGTAGGTTCACGGGATGTTCTGGCACAAAGACAACAATAAAACTACAGTTGCAGTTCTTATATCTATGAGTCATCCAATGATTTACTTGTTGGCGGCAAAGGTTTTTTTTAACCCAGTCGATCTGTCCTTTTCAGATTTAGATCTTTTTAGCCAGCCCTCACAGGAATTATTTAAACCCGTCCAAATATGGATCAACATATTTGACTCAGTTTGCATTTAGTCTTATCCTGTCTTTTCACAATGACCAGTGAACGTATATACAGACGAGCAACTCTAGATGATAAAGAAGATGTGCTTGCTATATCTGATAATATTTATAATGGTCGGGATTACCTACCAGAACTCTACGATGACGTAATATACGATAACGACAAGCAAGGATATGTTTGCGAAGAAAAGGGAAAATTGGTAAATATTTTTATTCTCAACATAACGGAATTCCTATGCTGTTATTAATTGGGTAAGCTACGATGTCGGATTGATCTGGAGGACCTGACTGTTCATGAGGGCGTTTGGGTAATGTCCGTTGGGCTGGGACCGCTGAGTTTCACACTTAAAGATCTTTTCACCAGCTAATACTATATAGTAGGTTACAATCTGTATCCATGAGTGAATGTCAGTTTATAGTTTAAAATCATCTCACCAGTTATCAATTGTCGCAATCAATTATGTTGGTTCGGTGTTAATATTTTTTCAGTTGGGGTTCTTCTTTGCCCATATTGTTGATAACAGCGAAACTATCGTAAGAAGAGCCGGAAGGGTAAAACCCAGTCACCAGGGTCAGGGTATATTTAGAAATTTAATGGAGAATATGATGAGTGATTGTGCTTCGCTACCCAATGTAAAATCCACCTCTATCTCTGTGGGTGGGATACCTACAAAGCAGGTCTTAAATTATTTAAAGAGAGAGAATTATCGACATGTACAGACAATGGTAAGTATATTGAAATAACAGAATCTTAAATTATTACTTGAAAAAGCTCGCAACAAACCCAGTTTTAACCATACCGGATTATGGGGAAAAATCATAGGCGATAAAAAAATAAACCAATTTTCTCCCGATGACTCCGGATGCTCCTGATGTTTTTGCTCATGAGAAATGGCACTTATTTTACATCGGGGATGGTCCGGTGAAAGTTCACTGGTGCTTCGGCTATGGTCATAAAGCTTCTGGGAATGTCCCCCGAACAATTGCCGTGAATCATCGGGGTTGGCTCAAAATTATCAGGAAAGCTCTCGGGTACCGTCGCCGGAAATCAACATCATCGAGTATCGGCAGCACTTATGTCTTCACACTAGGCATGGAAGCTTCGGGGGCATCGTGAACCTTTGAAACCATCGGGAGGCCTCGGGCGAACTGCAAAAATTTCAATGCTTGCATTGAATATTCTCCGATGTGTTTTCGACGTTTTATTGGGACAACGGACCGTGGAGGCATCCACGGAGGTTTACAGATCCACGGAGAAGTACCGGGGATGCTTCCGTGTCCAGAGCTTTCTCGAAAATGTCTTTCCCGAGGCATCCACGTTGCATCGGTGATGTCTCGCCGAAGTATCAGGGGACCTCCAAGGATATTTGAATCGGAGATGCCTCGGGGGAAAAAATATTTCGAGGAAGCTCCGGAGATGATTCCCCGGCCTGTTTTCCCGACAAAACGTAGAGAACACATCTGGAAAAATTGCAATTCTTCTTTTGCAGTTCTCCCGAGGTCTCCCGATGGTTCCACATGGCTCGCGAAGCTTCCCTGAGACGCCGGGGAACCTAGATATTTCGAGGAGGCTCCGGAGATGCCTCCCCGGCCTGTTTTCCAGACAAAACGTAGAGAACACATCGGGAAAAATTGCAATTCCTCTTTTGCAGATCTCCCGATGGTTCCACATGGCTCGTGACGCTCCGAAGCCGGGGAACCTAGATAATGCATCTTTAAATAAGGAAATACTATTTTCCTCTCGTTGGCTATTATGATTTGTCTCTTTCACGATCACTGATAAATCAAGTAACCATTTTCTTCAACTTGGTTTGTCACTTCCATCAATACTTTCACCTTCACAATCACTGACAAAAGTGAGGTGGCTTGTCGTTTAATGAGCAACAATAATTGACCGTGGGCTAATTTGATTATTAATGTTTCCGATTATATCACTGGTAAACTGATATCGTTGACGTATGAACCCGGTATTGTTGAGTTATGAAACCGGGACTTTTATTATTGACAATGTTTGTCAGTAAATCATATAAGTGGCCATTATTCTAAACTAATGATTAGTATGTATAGAAAGTGGTCAGAAATTATACACTTTTCATGAATTAGCAGGTGTTTAACTAGCTGTAAAAGATGTCACTGCTGGTGTAAAAGCGTGACTATTTATAACAGCCATCACTATTGAATACACAAACCTGGACGTGTATCATTCAATAGTAACGGTTTAAACACCTTAGTGACATAACACCATTCCTAGTTAATGGCTTCTGTCTGATTACTACCAATAAAAAATGACATTTGATCTGCTAGTGTCGTATATAATCATTTATAAAAGTTATTTGTTGCTTAGTCAACAATATCAACTTTAGGGTGTATTAAATAACTTATTTTCGTTTATTAAAGCTGTGTTATGTAAGAGCTAAATATGCCCATTGCAGGTCTTTATTTTGGCTTTAAATAATATACAAACTATTATTTAGATATTTATTGACAATACGAGCTTATAATTCTAGACAATTAGGTGGTGGAGATGATTTAAACGGATTGAAACAGGATCGGCATTTAAGGATTTAATTTATAATGTTGAATAGAGACTAAATCTCGAATAACAAGTACCTTTGCTACGAAAATAAACAATCTATGCCTCATCTTTCCAAATTTCAAAAACGCGATAGCTTGGCTCAGAATAAAGTCATTTGAATGAAATATTCACTATATTCATTTTGCATTATCATTATCTATTTTTAAATTACTATGGCATGAACGCCAAGTTCAAACCTTACATAATGCATCTTTAAGAACGCAGTTGTACGTTTGAAAAATACACATACTTGTCCTAAGCACAACTTTTGGCTGCACCCATATCTGGGCAAGTAAAATATAAATTAAACAAATATCACCATTACTTTACAGATCACTGACTACAAACTATAATGATCCTTTTTCTTCAGAATTTTCATCTGTACAAGTTTAATATCAGAGAAATACCAACGATTTCTTGTGAGAACAACGCCTTGCTTATCCAGGAAATTACTTCCAACATCTTGACAGACATCTTGAAAAATCAGACATCACGTGATTATCTTTTCCCGGATGACGTAGTTAGAATTCATAGTGTGCCGTTTAAACCCATTAAAGCCAACATAAAAAGTTTTGTAAATAAAAGAACATACATTATAGGCAGTTTCAATAAATACAAAGGCGAAGAAGAAGTAGATATTAGTGACCTTGACCTTTGTAACATTCGTCTGATGACCTTAGCAAGTTTCTATACCTGTAAGGATGGACTGGCATACCAACTTGACATATTTGGGAACAGAACAGAAGACTTAGGAGATCATCTGTACTATCACATGCAGAAAATCAAAACCATGGCGAACAGTCACGTCACTTCTGGTGTAATGACTCCTAGTGATATGGAGTTTGGCGACGTTGAGAAACATTTCAAGCCTTACAAGCAAATATCATTCTGGGAGACACACATTTTCACCAAAACTCTGTAACGCCTTGATTTGTCAGAATATATAGTACATTAACAAAACAAGTTTAATTTTAAAAAAATTATTCATAACTGTGTCCATTGAGAGTGTATATCGGTTTCTGTTGATTTAACAACTCCATCTATTGTGATCAACGTCGACTGGTAAAGTACATATTTTTGATTCAATATCGCACCAATTCTTCTCAGAGAAACCTGTAATATACTAGTCGTGTACATTATTTAGTAGTGGTTTTAACTTAAGGGATTTAATAAACGGTCGTATAATTTGCTTTACTGTAGGACAATACTAGTTCCTCGGTGTTACAGCCAGTAAAATCAGTAACAGTGATAATATGACATTAACTTTATGTCTACTTCAATAAAACTGCTTTTCGGCGAGATATGGTATTTTGTTGATGGTGCTTTAGATTTGGTACGCACCCTCCCCTCCTCCTTATTCACAGCTTCTAAATCCTCTACTGGACAATTTATCCACCCAACCCCCTTTTAAAATCTTGAGCAGGTCCTGGCGGTTAAAGTTTTCATCCGAGTGACTTGGAATTTACATTCAAATTAGTGAAACGAAGTATCGGTTCATTTTAAAGAATTCATGGGCTAATATCAATGATGTCCAGTATTATTTGAGAGTGGGAAAGTAACATACCAGGTATTTATAAATTAGATTAAGTAACACACCTGTAACACAAAGTACACGTCCATGAACTCATCTAAGAGAGAATATCTCTTAGCCCCCCACCCCCTTGCACTAGCCTTTCAGATTCCTTACAGAATGCGCTGAGGAGAATTCTTTTGGATTGTAACAATTTCTGATATATCAGATTATAGAGTTATTGCCCTTGATTAGGCCATATAATCGTCCCAAATCGTCACTTATATTTTACAGTATTACGATTTGTTGTAGTTATATCTGGTTCACAGCTAGTTCTCTGGTGGTTCGACCTATTTATGACCTATTATGACAACCATACTGTGTAGCGCCTTGAGCATGCATGGATGTATGGAACTGTGCACGGTATAAATATACATATTATTATTATTATTATTTGCCTAAAGACTCACAATGCGATAACCTTTGTGGACTTCTTCGTTGATGTGATTAGTGCAATATATTTTTGAATATAGTCGGCAGATACTAGAGAAATTAGTTCATGCGACAACAGGCTTAGCCTCCACCCAGAAAGGGGGAAGTGTGACAAAGTGATTTATATTTCTCACCAAATTGAACAGTATCATTTAGGTACATAGAACTTAATGAACTATGCTAGTTTTAACAATATATGATTTTTGACTTTCACCTCTATATAAACTTCTGTTAAGTACTAGCTTATTAAACATGTAATTGATTCAGTATGTTCTTTACAAACTACGTGTGGTCTTTGCACACGCTCCGCTTTACTTCAAAGGAATATGCATTGGTCAGTAGTCATGCCCGTACGTAACTACGTCAATTCTATGAGTTGTAGATGTTATTTTTGTGAAAAATCATTGGAAGAAGAGAGAACATGTTGGGACTGTACGAATTATATAGTCTTTATGGGTGCATCCGACACAATGCTGAAGATAAACCTATTGTTTACAATGTTGACCTCTTGACGCCAATGTCATGATCTGTGATGTGTAGATCACGTGATATGGATATCATGGCTACTGACTGTGTCTGAGATACTTCTCCGCAGGTAGCGTGTCTCAGATGTTCAGAATGTAGTCATGCCGTGACGAGATAAAAGAGACAATTGCATGTATGACCATGTGTGCAAGGGTATATATTGAGGAGTTCGCTGACAGTTAGGAGAGAGGAGCCGGGAGGAGAAGAAAGGGTCGGGCGAGTGTATGGACTCACCGAGTTCAGCCGCTGCCTTGGCAGAGGGGCAGAATGGTAGATCCAATATGGTTAGATGTATTCCTGTCGTAGTAATAGTTCCAGTATTGTCTAGTTTTTGTAGTGTTGATGTATTTATGTAGATGTGTGATACACTGTTCCCGTTGTAAATAAATGCTGTATTTACTAAACTGGTCTACTGTTATCACCAACGATAGTGTTACAGAAGTGGTAAAGAATTTCGAAATAATGGCGAAAGAAGATCATAAAAGTAAAATCAAATCTGTTGCGAACAAAATAAACCCGTATAATTTAATGACGAAAATCAAATAATTTGGTCATATGGCAACTAAAACTACTAAATGTTTCGATTAACGTCGCCTTCACAAGGTTGACGGACACAAGGCTAAACTCAAAAATAACATGTTCAGCGAATATCAGGTGAACATATGGGTAAATTCTTGAAATCCACGTAAAACACCACTTCATATGATGGTGTAACTTTTTGGTGCATGTGTAATAATTGCTAATACGGGCACGAATATTTAATGCGTTTCTGAAAAGAAACGAAACCGGATTTCGTTGCACTTCTTTCACTTTATCCATGACGTCATTGGGAAGAGGGGTTGGTTAGTGGTACTGATCTTACGTCAGGAGACGGTAATAAACGCTTTACTACTTTCTTATGTACCGTATGTTGATAAATGTACAACACTGTCTTATACGAGTCGACTATAGAGTTAAATCATTCGACACCAACATCTAGTATCCAACGTCACAGTGATCAAACACAGCAAAGCGATAACTGTTTACATAACCTATTTTGTCCTGTATTATATATTGTGGTGTAAGAGTTATGTGTATGTATATAAACTGTCTTATATTAAACGAGAGGTGACAGCTCGACATAAGCAGGTTATTTCCGGACTAAACTAGGGATTGGCGCCAGGGCCCATGTTCAATGAAAATCGTAAGTCTAAGTTTGTCATTTAAAGCTGAACCCTGATTACAAAACTACAGAAATAATTAAATAAAAAAAATTAACACCTTAAATAATCGCCATACTTGTTTTCAAGTTGTAGAACAATCATGGACGATTGTATGGCGTACAAAAACAAGATGCAGGCAACGCCCACACCCAGTTCATGCCTTGTCAACCACACTGTCCACATCCAGTAGACGTGGTACAAGGGTTAATCAGCGAACTGGATGTATGAGATGTGTTGTTGACGTTTGGGAAAGTAGGACGAGGGGAAATGTGTAGGGGGTGAAGTGCTGTAAAGGGATAGTTAGATGTATTATGAATGGTTAGAGTGGCTGTGGTGTTACGGTGAAATACTATGCCGCCACCGTAACACCACAGCTTTATGATTTGTTAGACAGGAGTGATGTAATGGGTGTCAACAACTGGGTATGCTGGTACCGTCGCAACGTAGCCGTGAAATATATATTGTGGGGGGGGGGGGGGGGAAGGGCGGAAACGGAAAAATATACAATGTTGACAGTATGTGCCAGGCATGAGGCTGCGCAGACCGAGCGGCAGCTCGATAGGGAGTGTGTGGGAGGGTCACCCTCATAAAAAAATTTTTTTTTAAATTTCAGTTTTCTGTAAGCAGTGAAAACACTATTTTTGGCGTTGTTTGCGGGGTTAAACCTAAAAATCACATTAATACACCTATTGCACGATATTGTGAAACTAGCTGACGAAGACAGCTCGGGCGGCGATTGTTCGACTCGGGGCTGCTCTGTCAGTATCTAACAAACGCATTTAGTTCGCGTACAACTTTTAAAAACCGAATGTCAGTATGGCAATATTTCAGCTGACTGATTGACATTTTTTCACTATCAGTTTACTGAAAATATTAATGCTACACAATAATTATGTCTGATCAGGTACATATTATTTTACCGGTGTACTTTTGCTCTAAAAATAAGAGAAAAGCTGCCTTACCCAAAACAATAACAAATCTACCAACACAAACAATTTTTTTCTTATTTCTTGAAATGTTTTGTACAACAGCGTGGAAACACGAAATAATTTCTAGTATTATAAAGTCTAGTATTATCGTTCCAAAATATATCCAAAGCAGCAATAAAACGGTTGTTCTCTCCATCAAAGAAGTATGTTTTCACTTCAAAATATTCACTATCTTGTGAAGTAGTTATGTCCCTTGATGTTATGTCAACAACATAGAATTGGTTGGCGTTGTTGATAGATTTGTTATTGTTTAGGTTAAGGCAGTTGTTTCTTATATTTAGAGCAAAAGTACACAGTGGTTTACTTATTTCGTCTAATTAGTAAAATAATATGTACCTGATCAGATAAAATAATTAGGTACCAATAATACTTTCTGTAAACTGTTAGTGAAAAAACGCCAATCAGTCAGGAGGAAATTGGGAGTTGAAATGGCCCTGCTTGATTTATCCATACCGGCGCATACCGGCTTACCACAGTTCGGCAGTTTCCCCGGTGATGTTTCTTGATTTAACCGGAAGTCGACAAAATAATAGCAATAATACTTTCTGTAAACTGTTAGTGAAAAAACGCCAATCAGTCAGGAGGTAATTGGTAGTTGAAATGGCACTGCTTGATTTATCCATACCGGCGCATACCGGCTTACCACAGTTCGGCAGTTTCCCCGGCGATGTTACTTGATTTAACCGGAAGTTGACAAAAATTCGGCCACGGCGTACGCCGAATACGCCGCTTTGTTGGCAGCGGCGATCACCGGCGCAAGATGGTGAACATGTCAACGAGATAAAATTCACGTTAGTTAGGAATGCCATTAAACACAAATATTAAAGCGTTAAAATTAAACAAAATGCTTTAAAGTTGAATTAAGGCTTCGTAAAACCAGATGTTCATATGTCATTTTTTTTTTTTTTTTCAGTAATACTACAAATAATTTTCTGTATTATTTTGCGGTCACTTACTTATAGTAATGCTTTCATGAATACTGTTTTACACGCTCACATTGAAATGTGGTCGTATATTGTCGTCCGTCCGTCCACAATTGCTTGTGGACGCTCTAGAGGCCACAGCTAACATCCGATCAATGAATTTTGATAACTGAACAGCTAAATCCATGATATTAAATGTTTCGTATTCTAAACGTTAGCATGTGACGGGACTTGATATTTAATTAATGAGTTGTTACTTTTATTCAGATTTTATTGTATTATAAATGTTTCATTACCGAAAAAAGTAAAAATATGCGACAACTCTTGTTGACTGCACGGACGCTTTAGCTGCTGTGGGCGCGTGTTTCGTTGCCTGGCAACCTATCGTTATTAAAACATGTCATGTTACCGGTTTAATATTATCCGACGCCAAATTTATTATCAGCCGGGTCACTTGATTTGCTCTGATACGGTAACCTGACCGGCGTACGCCTTGTACAAACCGGCTCGCCTATCGGCGGACAAATCAAGCAGGCCCCATGCTAGCCGGATGTGGACAGTGTGGTTGACAAGGCGTGAACTGGATGTGGGCGTGGCCTGCCTCTTGTTTTTGTACGCCGTACAATCGTCCATGATTGTTCTACAACTTGAAAACAAGTATGGCGATTATTGAGGGTGTCAATTTTTTTTATTTGATTATTTATTTAGTTTTGTAATCGGAGTTCAGCTTTAACTACTAGATTTCACTAATAAATATACGTAACTTCCTGTAAGTTAAGGGCAAGTGGTATCCAAAGGCAATATTCAACATCAAAATTTTCCTAAAGTTAAGTTACCTTAACTATAAGTGTTTATAGGCCTCCCACCAGAATTTCTAGCTTGCTTAGAAACACGATTTTGCATTTTGCATCTCCTTGCATCTCCTTGCTACACGGAGTTCCGTAAAAAATGTTTGCTCAAATTCGCTTTATAGGGCCTTATGAAACACTATATTTATACTAAATTCTATATTTATACTAACAATTCTGAATTTGGCATAAATTAAATACTGGCGAAAACACCAGATGCATTAATTCAAAGCGTAGTGTATTGGTTAAATTTTGATTTAAACAAAAATGCTAAAAACATAAAGAAGAAGGGAACACGGTTAGGGCTAAATATTAAGGTCACCTGCAAAATTCGTCAAGGTCTAACGCTAGCCCTAAACCACAATCTCGTCAACAATCACGTCCCCTAAGCCTATTTACATCTCGCGAACTTGCCGAAATCTGCAGGTGGCCTTAATATTTAGATTTAAAAAGGGGGAAAACCCGGGATTTCGGAAATCCATTAAATGTACAAGGTACAAGTATTTACCTCCCTTTATAACAAATATCAATAATATTATTATTGATAACAGTATTTAGTTTAAACAATTTATTCGATAAACTAAATAGGATCTACTATACAAGTTCTCCCCAGAACTGTTTCTGTTATAACCGCCGTAAACCTTTATCTATCTTCTATATACTAATATTTGTGACTGTCGTTTGTCTGTCTGTTTGTCTGTCTGTCTGTTCGGGGTTGGCGGCTACACTAGGTCTGCCCCGAGTTTGAAATTTGGGTATAGGGGTAGCTCGGACCGGGGAGTAACATAGTCCAGGTGGCGTTAGTCTACCACTTCCGGTTTCGGGGTTATGACCCCCGAGCGAAGCCGGTCTGTACGGGGTTGGCGGCTACACTAGGTCTGTCCCGAGTCTGAAATTTGGGGTATAGGGGTAGCTCGGACCGGGGAGTAACATAGTCCAGGTGGCGTTAGTCTACCTCTTCCGGTTTCGGGGTTATGACCCCCGAGCGAAGCCGGTCTATTCGGGGTTGGCGGCTACACTAGGTCTGCCCCGAGTCTGAAATTTGGGGTATAGGGGTAGTTCGGACCGGGGGATAACATAGACCAGGTGGCGTTAGTCTACCACGTTCGGTTTCGGGGTTATGACCCCCGAGCGAAGCCGGGTATCCTGCTAGTTTCAGATAAGATTTGAGGCTAAAGTTCTAACAAATATTTGAATTAAAAATATTTTCATAAAAGTATTATCAGTGCAAGGGAGCCGCGGTGACTCAGCAAGGGGCGGACTCACTTTCCAGGAGGCCCGTGATTCGTTCCATGTTGGCATGTATCTGTGTTGGTGGTGTAAGTCCTTTCAGTTGCAGGTACTTGATGACTGCCCTAATGTCAGTTTTGTTCATATATGATGTCAATGGGTAGGTTCACGAGATGTTCTGGTACGAAGACAGCAATAAAACTACAGTTGCAGTTCTATGATTCATTCAATGATTGTACGTGTTGGTGGCAAAGGTTCAACCCAATTGATCTGTCCTTTTCAGATTTAGAACTTTTTAGCCCGGTCTCGTAGGAATTATTTAAACCCGTCTTATCACAATGGCCAGTGAACGTGTATACAGACGAGCAACTCTCGATGATAAAGAAGATGTGCTTGGTATGTCTGATAATATTTATGATGGTCGGGATTACCTACCAGAACTCTACGATGACGTAATATACGATAACGACATGCGGGGATATGTTTGCGAAGAAAAGGGAAAAGTGGTAAATATTTTTATTCTCAACATAACGGATTTCCTATGCTGTTATTAATTGGGCAGGCTACGATGTCGGATTGATCTGGAGTACCTCACTCTCAATGGGGGCGTTCGGGTAATGTCCCTTGGGCTGGGACTGCCGAGTTCTACAGTTTAAGATCGTCTCACCAGCTAATGCTAGTAGTAGGTTACAATCTGTATTCAGTGAATGTCAGTTTATAGTTTAAAATCATCTCACCAGTTACATAAACACACATAAACTTTGTCGAAATCAATTATGTTGGTTCGGTGTTAATATTTTTCAGTTGGGATTCTTCTTTGTCCATATTGTTGATAACAGCGAGACTATCGTAAGAAGAGCCGGGAGGGTAAAGTCCAGTCACCAGGGTCAGGGTATATTTAGAAATTTGATGGAGTATATGATGAGTGATTGTGCTTCGTTACCCAAAGTAAGATACACCTCTATCGCTATTGATGGGATACCTACAAAGCAGGTCTCAAAATTTTTAAAGAGAGAGAATTATCGACATGCACATGCACATGTAAGTACATTAAAATATCTGAATCTTAAATTATTACTCGAAAAAGCTCGCAACAAACACAGTTTAAACCATACCGGATTATGGGGAAAAATCATCGGCGATAAAACAAAAATAAACCAATTTTCTCCCGATGACTCCAGATGCTCCTGATGTTTTTGCTCATGAGAAATGACACTTATTATGCATCGGAGATGGTCCTGTGGAAGCTTATTAGTGCTTTGGCTATGATCATAAAGCTTCTGGGAATGTCCGCCGAACAATTGCCGTGAATCATAGGGGATGGCTCCCAATAATCAGGAAAGCTCCGGGGTACCTTCGCCGGTAATCAACATCATCGAGTATCGGCAGCACTTATTCCTTGGTCATACTAGGCATTTTTTCCTCGGCAATGTACTACCGCGTGCAATTGATGAGCCTCGTGGGTCCTCGGGGAAGCTTTGGAGGCATCGCGAGCCATTTGAAACCATCGGGAGGCCTCGGGCGAACTTCAAAAATGTCAATGCTTGCATTGAATATTCTCCGATATGTTTTCGACGTTTTTCGGGAAAGCCCCGGGGATGCTTCCTTGTCCAAAGTTTTCTCGAATTTTTTTCCCGAGACATCCACGTAGCATCGGGGATGTCTAGCCGAAGTATCAGGCGACCTCAAAGGATATTTGAATCGGGGATGCCTCGCGAGATAAAGTATTTCGAGGAAGCTCCGGAGATGCCTTCCCGGCGTGTTTTCGAGACAAAACGTAGAGAATATATCGGGAAAAATTGCAATTCTTGTTTTGCAGTTCTCCCGAGGTCTCACGATGGGTCCACATGGCTCGCGACGCTCCCGAAGCTTCCCTGTGACGCCGGTGAACCTGTTCCCTACGCCTCCTGAGGCTCATCAATTTTCACCGGTAGTACATTCCCGAGGCAAAAAATGTCCAGTGGGATCTAGGCATTATAGGTTATTCTATTTGCTTAAGACGATTGCATTCTTTCACATGGTATGTCCGCCTGGATTACGAATAAAATTTAGATGTTCTGGTAAATGAACTCTTTTGAAATAACAGTTCAGTGGCGTCAAATGTCTATACTTACCAGTTGGTCAAAATTTCGGTACCTATCCTGGGTCATGACATAATTTCCAGAAACACTGATAGTTAATGTCTCTAACGCTTTCACTTTTATATGTGTTTCCCCGTCTTTAAAAGCAGCGAACTTAGATTCCACAAACATCATTTGAACAAGATATCGTGTAGATTTAGAGTTTGGCTCTCATCGCGTGCTGGAGTGTCCGATTACATGCTAAGTTATTATTATTAATAGTGTTGTGGGGTTTGTTCCCAAATTTTTAGTGGCTGAGCCAGATTACTTTCTGCATAGCCTTCTGGTGATTAATGACTTACAGTAAAAGATGCACTTACAGTAAAAGATGCACTATGTAAGAGCTAAATCTGCCTAATGCAGATCTTTCATATGACTTCCAATGTTATATAAACTATTATTGAGATATTTATTCACATGACAAACCTAATCAACTCTCTAGGTCATCGGTTGGTCGTGATTCAGACACGATCGCCATTTAATGATTAATTTAAAAAGGGTGAATCGAGACTTTGTTTATTATCGTAACAACGGTAGCAATGACAATCGAGACTACGCTGTTCTTCAAGAGGTCATAACTCCGATCTGAATAAAGTAATTATCTATTTTTTAACTATTATAGCGAGAACTGTCAGCATCGAAATCTTAGATAATGCATCTTTAAATAAGGAAATAATATTTTCCTCGATTTAGCTTTTATGATTTGTCACTTTCACTTTCGCTGACAAATCAAGTAACCATTTTCCACAACTCGGTTTGTCACTTCCATCAATACTTTCACTTTCACAATCACTGATGAAAGTGAGGTGGCTTGTCGTTTAAAATGCAACAATAATTGACCGTGGGCGAATTTGATTTATAATGTCTCCGGTCACATCACTGGTAAGCTGATATCGTTGACTTATGAATCCGGGCCTTTTAGTATTAACAATGTTCGTCATTATATCATATAAGTGGCCATTATTTTAAAGGAGCTAAGTCTCTAACTCAATATCATCCAAAGTTTTACACGTTGAAAACACGAATTATTTGTCAATTCAAATCTACATTGATGTTGTTATCTTACCGCGAAAGGGCAGGCTTCTGATATCCAATATTTAAGACAAAATAAACATTTTACCATTGGTACAGGAATCGTGTACCGTAGTGCGTTTCATCGTCATTTGTAACAAGTGACCAGAAAGAGCGAGGCTAGACATATTCCACAACTCATGTCATACGGCAACGCCATAACTTATCTGGAGAGCATGCGCAATAGACTGGAATAACCAGACGCTAGAAATTTCTATTCGGTTGAGACTCATGCCGTATTTCGCTGAACCTAACTGATTTGAAATTAGAGTCAAAACGGAAACAATTGAATTTAAATCAGTTTATATACAATCAGATTACATTATTATGCGTTGCGACCCATTTGGGTCAATTTCTAGGTCCCAAATATTAGCGATTTAGCTCCTTTAAACTAATGTTTAGTTTGTATAGAAAGTGGTTAGAAATTATACATTTGTCTTAAATTAGTAGGTCTATAACAAGCTATAAAAGATGTCACTGCTGGTGTAAAAGCGTGACTATTTATAACAGCCATCACTATTGAATACACAAACTGGGACAATAGTGGCGTGTATCATTCAATAGTAACGGTTTAAACACCTGATTGACCTAACACCAGTCCTAGTTAATGACTTCTGTTTTGATTACTACCAATATAAAAGGACATATTTGATCTGCTAGTGTCGTATATATAGTGTCGTTATGACTTCTGCCTGATTACTACCAGATTTCACTAACTAATAAACATTATGTATATAAAATGACATATTTGATCTACTAGTGTCGTCTATATTCAATTATAAAAGTTATTTAAAATAAATGATGAAAGAATAATGTATTGAAAATTTCAGTCAAATTACTTTATTCTGAACAAAGTTATCACGTAATTTTTGACTAGAAATAGGAGTCAACTCTCTCTTCACCGTCTCCGAGAATGGCCGATCGTTTGATTGACAGGCGTTAACTCCACCAACATAATCTCGATTATCAAGTAACGTTTTCAATGGCTGTGGTACCGTTAGTCATTCGGAGTGAGACGGGGTTGCAATTCAATTAGTTTCACATTTATTTTTACTACAAATTAAAAATAAGACTGTTAATATATAGATAAGAAGCGAAAGTTTGAAAGGAATGGACCAAATCAATGAGGCATAATTATAGCCGACTTCTTAATTGTTAGCCTGCGTGTACTCTTGTAGTTGTACTGTAACTGGTAGGCCTACGTAACTCCCGAAGCAGACAAATAGGAAACAGTGATCCAATGGGGCTGCAATTCAACTGGGGTGATGCGATGTTTATCAATTTCCATAATTTTTCTGTAAACGCAAATGACAAAAGATCGTACAATACCGACATCCAAACTCTCATTTTAACTACAACTAAACATAATATCAAGGCCGTATATATCGAACTTTCAATCAAATTGACTGCCATGCGGCTTTTCTAAAATGATTTAATTTATAATGTTGAATAGAGACTAAATCTCGAATAACAAGTACCGTTGCTACGAAAATAAACAATCTATGCCTCATCTTTCCAAATCTCAAAAACGCGATAGCTTCGCTCAGAATAAAGTCATTTGAATGAAATATTCAATATATTCATTTTGCATTATCTATTTTTGAACTACTATGTCATGAACGACAAGCACAAACCTTACATAATGCATCTTTAAGAACGCAGTTGTACGTCTGAAAAATACGTACCCATGGCTGCACCCATATCTGGGCAAGTAAAATATAAATTAAACAAATATCATCATTACTATACAGATCACTATTCTCGACTACAAACTATACTGATCTTTTTTCTTCAGAATTTTCATCTGTACAAGTTTAATATCGGAGAAATACCAACGATTTCTCTTGAGAACAACGCCTTGCTTATCCAGGAAATTACTTCCAACATCTTGACAGACATCTTGAAAAATCAGACATCACGTGATTATCTTTTCCCGGATGACGTAGTTAGAATTCATAGTGTGCCTTTTAAACCCATTGAAGCCAACATAAAAAGTTTTGTAAATAAAAGAACATACATTATAGGCAGTTTCAATAAATACAAAGGTGAAGAAGAAGTCGATATTAATGACCTTGACCTTTGTAACATTCGTCTGATGACCTTAGCAAGTTTCTATACCTGTAAGGATGGACTGGCATACCAACTTGACATATTTGGGAACAGAACAGAAGACTTAGGAGATCATTTGTACTATCACATGCAGAAAATCAAAACCATGGCGAACAGTCACGTCACTTCTGGTGTAATGACTCCTAGTGATATGGAGTTTGGCGACGTTGAGAAACATTTCAAGCCTTACGGGATCTCTAGGAAGCAACTATCATTCTGGGAGACACACATTTTCACCAAAACTCTGTAACGCCTTGATTTGTCAGAATATATAGTACATTAACAAAACAAGTTTAATTTTAAAAAAATTATTCATAACTGTGTCCATTTAGTGTGTATATCGGTTTCTGTTGATTTCACAACTCCATCTATTGTGATCAACGTCGACTGGTAAAGTACATATTTTTGATTCAATATCGCACCAATTCTTCTCAGAGAAACCTGTAATATACTAGTCGTGTACATTATTTAGTAGTGGTTTTAACTTAAGGGATTCAATAAACGGTCGTATAATTTGCTTTACTGTAGGACAATACTAGTTCCTCGGTGTTACAGCCACTGCCTCTAAGATTGACAAAACATTAATAACAAAATCAGTAACAGTGATAATATGACATTAACTTTATGTCTACTTCAATAAAACTGCTTTTCGGCGAGATATGGTATTTTGTTGATATTCATCGTGGGGTGGGATTGTGGATGGTGCTTTAGATTTGGTACGCACCCCCCCTCCTCCTTATTCACAGCTTCTAAATCCTCTACTGGACCATTTATCCACCCAACCCCCTTTTAAAATCTTGAGCAGGTCCTGGCGGTTAAAGTTTTCATCCGAGTGACTTGGAATTTACATTCAAATTAGTGAAACGAAGTATCGCTTCATTTTAAAGAATTCATGGGCTAATATCAATGATGTCAAGTACTATTTGAGAGTGGGAAAGTAACATACCAGGTATTTATAAATTAGATTAAGTAACACACCTGTAACACAAAGTACACGTCCATGAACTCATCTAAGAGAGAATATCTCTTAGCCCCCCCCCCCTTGCACTAGCTTTTCAGATTCCTTACAGAATGCGCTGAGGAGAATCCTTTTGGATTGTAACAATTTCTGATATATCGAATTATAGAGTTATTGCCCTTGATTAGGCCATATAATCGTCTCAAATCGTCACTTATATTTTACAGTATTACGATTTGTTGTAGTTATATCTGGTTCACAGCTAGTTCTCTGGTGGTTCGACCTATTTATGACCTATTATGACAACCATACTGTGTAGCGCCTTGAGCATGCATGGATGTATGGAACTGTGCACGGTATAAATATACATATTATTATTATTATTTGCCTAAAGACTTACAATGCGATAACCTTTGTGGACTTCTTAGTTGATGTGATTAGTGCAATATATTTTTGAATATAGTCGGCAGATACTAGAGAAATTAGTTCATGTGACAACAGGCTTAACCTCCACCCAGAAAGGGGGAAGTGTGACAAAGTGATTTATATTTCTCACCAAATTGAACAGTATCATTTAGGTACATAGAACTTAATGAACTCTGCTAGTTTTAACAATATATGATTTTTGACTTTCACCTCTATATAAACATCTGTTAAGCACGAGCTTATTAAACATGTAATTGATTCAGTATGTTCTTTACAAACTACGTGTGGTCTTTGCACACGCTCCGCTTTACTTCAAAGGAATATGCATTGGTCAGTAGTCATGCCCGTACGTAACTAACGTACGAAAATTAATTGGTGGCTAGCTTTTTTTTCGCACGTATACAGTGAATGGCCATTTTGCTCAGTAATCCCAGCCAGAATTTGGCTATTTTCTAAATTTGCGTTAAAGTTTAAAATATTTGGTTTAGAACTGAAATACATTAACTATTAGTCAATCCCAACGCCAAAAACATCAACAGAATTGATTGTGTATATCTGAAATAGACCCGACCGACGCACAAAATAGTGCAATATGGCGGCCTCTATGAACAACCCTCGCAGACGCTGTCATTGAAGACAACGTCAATTCTATGAGTTGTAGATGTTATTTTTGTGAAAAATCATTGGAAGAAGAGAGAACATGTTGGGACTGTACGAATTATATAGTCTTTATGGGTGCATCGGACACAATGCTGAAGATAAACCTAATGTTTACAATGTTGACCTCTTGACCCATTGACGCCAATGTCATGATCTGTGATGTGTAGATCACGTGATATGGATATCATGGCTACTGACTGTGTCTGAGATACTTCTCCGCAGGTAGCGTGTCTCAGATGTTCAGAATGTAGTCATGCCGTGACGAGATAAAAGAGACAATTGCATGTATGACCATGTGTGCAAGGGTATATATTGAGGAGAGAGGAGCCGGGAGGAGAAGAAAGGGTCGGACGAGTGTATGGACTCACCCGAGTTCAGCCGCTGCCTTGGCAGAGGGGCAGAATGGTAGATCCAATATGGTTACATGTATTCCTGTCGTAGTAATAGTTCCAGTATAGTCTAGTTTTTGTAGTGTTGATGTATTTATGTAGATGTGTGATACACTGTTCCCGTTGCAAATAAATGCTGTATTTACTAAACTGGTCTACTGTTATCACCAACGATAGTGTTACAGAAGTGGTAAAGAATTTCGAAATAATGGCGAAAGAAGATCATAAAAGTAAAATCAAATCTGTTGCGAACAAAATAAACCCGTATAATTTAATGACGAAAATCAAATAATTTGGTCATATGGCAACTAAAACTACTAAATGTTTCGATTAACGTCGCCTTCACAAGGTTGACGGACACAAGGCTAAACTCAAAAATAACATGTTCAGCGAATATCAGGTGAACATATGGGTAAATTCTTGAAGTCCACGTAAAACACCACTTCGAATGCTGGTGTAACTTTTTGGTGCATGTGTAATAATTGCTAATACGGGCACGAATATTTAATGCGTTTCTGAAAAGAAACGAAACCGGATTTCGTTGGACTTCTTTCACTTTATCCATGACGTCATTGTCATTGCCAATTTAAAAGAGGTATGCTATAATTCATAATTGTATTGGACTTTAAAATTGTAATAAACTACATCAACAACAAATGGGAAGAGGGGTTGGTTAGTGGTACTGATCTTACGTCAGGAGACGGTAATAAACGCTTTACTACTTTATTATGTACCGTATGTTGATAAATGTACAACACTGTCTTATACGAGTCGACTATAGAGTTAAATCATTCGACACCAACATCTAGTATCCAACGTCACAGTGATCAAACACAGCAAAGCGATAACTGTATACATAACCTATTTTGTCCTGTATTATATATTGTGGTGTAAGAGTTATGTGTATGTATATAAACTGTCTTATATTAAACGAGAGGTAACAGCTCGACATAAACATGTCATTTCCGGACTAAACTAGGGATTGGCGCCAGGGCCCATGTTCAATGAAAATCGTAAGTCTAAGTTTGTCATTTAAAGCTGAACCCTGATTACAAAACTACAGAAATAATTAAATAAAAAAAATTAACACCTTAAATAATCGCCATACTTGTTTTCAAGTTGTAGAACAATCATGGACGATTGTATGGCGTACAAAAACAAGATGCAGGCAACGCCCACACTCAGTTCATGCCTTGTCAACCACACTGTCCACATCCAGCTAGCAATATTTCAGCTGACTGATTGACATTTTTTCACTATCAGTTTACTGAAAATATTAATGCTACACAATAATTATGTCTGATCAGGTACATATTATTTTACCGGTGTACTTTTGCTCTAAAAATAAGAGAAAAACTGCCTTACCCAAAACAATAACAAATCTACCAACACAAACAATTTTTTTCTTATTTCTTGAAATGTTTTGTACAACAGCGTGGAAACACCAAATAATTTCTAGTATTATAAAGTCTAGTATTATCGTTCCAAAATATATCCAAAGCAGCAATAAAACGGTTGTTCTCTCCATCAAAGAAGTATGTTTTCACTTCAAAATATTCACTATCTTGTGAAGTAGTTATGTCCCTTGATGTTATGTCAACAACATAGAATTGGTTGGCGTTGTTGATAGATTTGTTATTGTTTAGGGTAAGGCAGTTGTTTCTTATATTTAGAGCAAAAGTACACAGTGGTTTACTTATTTCGTCTAATTAGTAAAATAATATGTACCTGATCAGATAAAATAATTAGGTAGCAATAATACTTTCTGTAAACTGTTAGTGAAAAAACGCCAATCAGTCAGGAGGTAAATTGGGAGTTGAAATGGCCCTGCTTGATTTATCCATACCGGCGCATACCGGCTTACCACAGTTCGGCAGTTTCCCCGGCGATGTTACTTGATTTAACCGGAAGTCGACAAAATAATAGCAATATTACTTTCTGTAAACTGTTAGTGAAAAAACGCCAATCAGTCAGGAGGTAATTGGTAGTTGAAATGGCCCTGCTTGATTTATCCATACCGGCGCATACCGGCTTACCACAGTTCGGCAGTTTCCCCGGCGATGTTACTTGATTTAACCGGAAGTCGACAAAAATTCGGCCGCGGCGTACGCCGAATGCGCCGCTTTGTTGGCAGCGGCGATCACCGGCGCAAGATGGTGAACATGTCAACGAGATAAAATTCACGTTAGTTAGGAATGCCATTAAACACAAATATTAAAGCGTTAAAATTAAACAAAATGCTTTAAAGTTGAATTAAGGCTTCGTAAAACCAGATGTTCATATGTCATTTTTTTTTTTTTTTTCAGTAATACTACAAATAATTTTCTGTATTATTTTGCGGTCACTTACTTATAGTAATGCTTTCATGAATACTGTTTTACACGCCCACACTGAAATGTGGTCGTATATTGTCGTCCGTCCGTCCACAATTGCTTGTGGACGCTCTAGAGGCCAAAGCTAACATCCGATCAATGAATTTTGATAACTGAACAGCTAAATCCATGATATTAAATGTTTCGTATTCTAAACGTTAGCATGTGACGGGACTTGATATTTACTTAATGAGTTGTTACTTTTATTCAGATTTTATTGTATTATAAATGTTTCATTACCGAAAAAAGTAAAAATATGCGACAACTCTTGTTGACTGCATGGACGCTTTAGCTGCTGTGGGCTCGTGTTTCGTTGCCTGGCAACCTATCGTTATTAAAACATGTCATGTTACCGGTTTAATATTATCCGACGCCAAATTTATTTTCAGCCGGGTCACTTGATTTGCTCTGATACGGTAACCTGACCGGCGTACGCCTTGTACAAACCGGCTCGCCTATCGGCGGACAAATCAAGCAGGCCCCATGCTAGCCGGATGTGGACAGTGTGGTTGACAAGGCGTGAACTGGATGTGGGCGTGGCCTGCCTCTTGTTTTTGTACGCCGTACAATCGTCCATGATTGTTCTACAACTTGAAAACAAGTATGGCGATTATTGAGGGTGTCAATTTTTTTTATTTGATTATTTCTGTAGTTTTGTAATCGGAGTTCAGCTTTAACTACTAGATTTCACTAATAAATATACGTTACTTCCTGTAAGTTAAGAACAAGTGGTATCCAAAGGCAATATTCAACATCAAAATTTTCCTAAAGTTAAGTTACCTTAACTATTAGTGTTTATAGGCCTCCCACCAGAATTTCTAGCTTGCTTAGAAACACGATTTTGCATTTTGCATCTCCTTGCATCTCCTTGCTACACGGAGTTCCGTGAAAAATGTTTGCTCAAATTCGCTTTATAGGGCCTTATGAAACACTATATTTATACTAAATTCTATATTTATACTAACAATTCTGAATTTGGCATAAATTAAATACTGGCGAAAACACCAGATGCATTAATTCAAAGAGTAGTGTATTGGTTAAATTTTGATTTAAACAAAAATGCTAAAAACATAAAGAAGAAGGGAACACGGTTAGGGCTAAATATTAAGGTCACCTGCAAAATTCGTCAAGGTCTAACGCTAGCCCTAACCCACAATCTCGTCAACAATCACGTCCCCTAAGCCTATTTACATCTCGCGAACTTGCCGAAATCTGCAGGTGGCCTTAATATTTAGATTTTAAAAGGGGGATAACCCGGGATTTCGGAAATCCATTAAATGTACAAGTTTCAAGTATTTACCTCCCTTTATAACATATCAATAATATTATTATTGATAACAGTATTTAGTTTAAACAATTTATTCGATAAACTAAATAGGATCTACTATACAAGTTCTCCCCAGAACTGTTTCTGTTATAACCGCCGTAAACCTTTATCTATCTTCTATATACTAATATTTGTGACTGTCGTTTGTCTGTCTGTTTGTCTGTCTGTCTGTTCGGGGTTGGCGGCTACACTAGGTCTGCCCCGAGTCTGAAATTTGGGGTATAGGGGTAGCTCGGACCGGGGAGTAACATAGTCCAGGTGGCGTTAGTCTACCACTTCCGGTTTCGGGGTTATGACCCCCGAGCGAAGCCGGTCTGTTCGGGGTTGGCGGCTACACTAGGTCTGCCCCGATTCTGAAATTTGGGGTATTGGGGTAGCTCGGACCGGGGAGTAACATAGGCCAGGTGGCGTTAGTCTACCACTTCCGGTTTCGGGGTTATGAATGTCAGTTTATAGTTTAAAATCATCTCACCAGTTACATATTAAACACACATAAACTTTGTCGCAATCAATTATGTTGGTTCGGTGTTAATATTTTTCAGTTGGGATTCTTCTTTGTCCATATTGTTGATAACAGCGAGACTATCGTAAGAAGAGCCGGGAGGGTAAAGTCCAGTCACCAGGGTTAGGGTATATTTAGAAATTTGATGGAGTATATGATGAGTGATTGTGCTTCGTTACCCAAAGTAAAATACACCTCTATCGCTATTGATGGAATACCTACAAAGCAGGTCTCAAATTTTTTAAAGAGAGAGAATTATCGACATGCACATGCACATGTAAGTACATTAAAATATCTGAATCTTAAATTATTACTCGAAAAAGCTCGCAACAAACACAGTTTAAACCATACCGGATTATGGGGAAAAATCATCGGCGATAAAAAAAAAAATAAACCAATCTTCTCCCGATGACTCCGGATGCTCCTGATGTTTTTGCTCATGAGAAATGACACTTATTATGCATCGGAGATGGTCCGGTGGAAGCTCATTAGTGCTTTGGCTATGATCATAAAGCTTCTGGGAATGTCCGCCGAACAATTGACGTGAATCATTGGGGATGGCTCCCAATAATCAGGAAAGCTCCGGGGTACCTTCGCCAGTAATCAACATCATCGAGTATCGGCAGCACTTATTCCTTGGTCATACTAGGCATTTTTTCCTCGGCAATGTACTACTGCGTGCAATTGATGAGCCTCGTGGGTCCTCGGGGAAGCTTCGGAGGCATCGCGAGCCATTTGAAACCATCGGGAGGCCTCGGGTGAACTTCAAAAATGTCAATGCTTGCATTGAATATTCTCCGATATGTTTTCGACGTTTTTCGGGAAAGCCCCGGGGATGCTTCCTTGTCCAAAGTTTTCTCGAATTTTTTTTCCCCGAGACATCCACGTAGCATCGGGGATGTCTAGCCGAAGTATCAGGCGACCTCAAAGGATATTTGAATCGGGGATGCCTCGCGAGATAAAGTATTTCGAGGAAGCTCCGGAGATGCCTCCCCGGCGTGTTTTCCAGACAAAACGTAGAGAATATATCGGGAAAAATTGCAATTCTTGTTTTGCAGTTCTCCCGAGGTCTCACGATGGGTCCACATGGCTCGCGACGCTCCCGAGGCTTCCCTGTGACGCCGGGGGAACCTGTTCCCTACGCCTCCTGAGGCTCATCAATTTTCACCGGTAGTACATTCCCGAGGCAAAAAATGTCCAGTGGGATCTAGGCATTATAGGTTATTATATTTGCTTAAGACGATTGCATTCTTTCACATGGTATGTCCGCCTGGATTACGAATAAGATTTAGATGTTCTGGTAAATGAACTCTTTTGAAATAACAGTTCAGTGGCGTCAAATGTCTATACTTACCAGTTGGTCAAAATTTCGGTACCTATCCTGGGTCATGACAGAATTTCCAGAAACACTGATAGTTAATGTCTCTAACGCTTTCACTTTTATATGTGTTTCCCCGTCTTTAAAAGCAGCGAACTTAGATTCCACAAACATCATTTGAACAAGATATCGTGTAGATTTAGAGTTTGGCTCTCATCGCGTGCTGGAGTGTCCGATTACATGCTAAGTTATTATTATTAATAGTGTTGTGGGGTTTGTTCCCAAATTTTTAGTGGCTGAGTCAGATTACTTTCTGCATAGCCTTCTGGTGATTAATGACTTACAGTAAAAGATGCACTTACAGTAAAAGATGCACTATGTAAGAGCTAAATCTGCCTAATGCAGATCTTTCATATGACTTCCAATGTTATATAAACTATTATTGAGATATTTATTCACATGACAAACCTAATCAACTCTCTAGGTCATCGGTTGGTCGTGATTCAGACACGATCGCCATTTAATGATTAATTTAAAAAGGGTGAATCGAGACTTTGTTTATTATCGTAACAACGGTAGCAATGACAATCGAGACTAAGCTGTTCTTCAAGCGGTCATAACTCCGATCTGAATAAAGTAATTATCTATTTTTTAACTATTATAGCGAGAACTGAAATCTTAGATAATGCATCTTTAAATAAGGAAATAATATTTTCCTCGATTTAGCTTTTATGATTTGTCACTTTCACTTTCGCTGACAAATCAAGTAACCATTTTCCACAACTCGGTTTGTCACTTCCATCAATACTTTCACAATCACTGATGAAAGTGAGGTGGCTTGTCGTTTAAAATGCAACAATAATTGACCGTGGGCGAATTTGATTTATAATGTCTCCGGTCATATCACTGGTAAGCTGATATCGTTGACTTATGAACCCGGGCCTTTTAGTATTAACAATGTTTGTCATTATATCATATAAGTGGCCATTATTTTAAAGGAGCTAAGTCTCTAACTCAATATCATCCAAAGTTTTACACGTTGAAAACACGAATTATTTGTCAATTCAAATCAACATTGATGTTGTTATCTTACCGCGAAAGGGTAGGCTTCTGATATCCAATATTTAAGACAAAATAAACATTTTACCATTGGTACACGAATCGTGTACCGTAGTGCGTTTCATCGTCATTTGTAACAAGTGACCAGAAAGAGCGAGGCTAGACATATTCCACAACTCATGTCATACGGCAACGCCATAACTTATCTGGAGAGCATGCGCAATAGACTGGAATAACCAGACGCTAGAAATTTCTATTCGGTTGAGACTCGTGCCGTATTTCGTTGAACCTAACTGATTTGAAATTAGAGTCAAAACGGAAACAATTGAATTTAAATCAGTTTATATACAATCAGATTACATTATTATGCGTTGCGACCCATTTGGGTCAATTTCTAGGTCCCAAATATTAGCGATTTAGCTCCTTTAAACTAATGTTTAGTTTGTATAGAAAGTGGTTAGAAATTATACATTTGTCTTAAATTAGTAGGTCTATAACAAGCTATAAAAGATGTCACTGCTGGTGTAAAAGCGTGACTATTTATAACAGCCATCACTATTGAATACACAAACTGGGACAATAGTGGCGTGTATCATTCAATAGTAACGGTTTAAACACCTGATTGACCTAACACCAGTCCTAGTTAATGACTTCTGTTTTGATTACTACCAATATAAAAGGACATATTTGATCTGCTAGTGTCGTATATATAGTGTCGTTATGACTTCTGCCTGATTACTACCAGATTTCACTAACTAATAAACATTATGTATATAAAATGACATATTTGATCTACTAGTGTCGTCTATATTCAATTATAAAAGTTATTTAAAATAAATGATGAAAGAATAATGTATTGAAAATTTCAGTCAAATTACTTTATTCTGAACAAAGTTATCACGTAATTTTTGACTAGAAATAGGAGTCAACTCTCTCTTCACCGTCTCCGAGAATGGCCGATCGTTTGATTGACAGGCGTTAACTCCACCAACATAATCTCGATTATCAAGTAACGTTTTCAATGGCTGTGGTACCGTTAGTCATTCGGAGTGAGACGGGGTTGCAATTCAATTAGTTTCACATTTATTTTTACTACAAATTAAAAATAAGACTGTTAATATATAGATAAGAAGCGAAAGTTTGAAAGGAATGGACCAAATCAATGAGGCATAATTATAGCCGACTTCTTAATTGTTAGCCTGCGTGTACTCTTGTAGTTGTACTGTAACTGGTAGGCCTACGTAACTCCCGAAGCAGACAAATAGGAAACAGTGATCCAATGGGGCTGCAATTCAACTGGGGTGATGCGATGTTTATCAATTTCCATATTATTTCTGTAAACGCAAATGGCAAAAGATCGTACAATACCGACATCCAAACTCTCATTTTAACTACAACTAAACATAATATCAAGGCCGTATATATCGAACTTTCAATCAAATTGACTGCCATGCGGCTTTGCTAAAATGATTTAATTTATAATGTTGAATAGAGACTAAATCTCGAATAACAAGTACCGTTGCTACGAAAATAAACAATCTATGCCTCATCTTTCCAAATCTCAAAAACGCGATAGCTTCGCTCAGAATTAAGTCATTTTAATGAAATATTCAATATATTCATTTTGCATTATCTATTTTTGAACTACTATGTCATGAACGACAAGCACAAACCTTACATAATGCATGTTTAAGAACGCAGTTGTACGTCTGAAAAATACGTACCCATGGCTGCACCCATATCTGGGCAAGTAAAATATAAATTAAACAAATATCATCATAACTTTACAGATCACTATTCTCGACTACAAACTATACTGATCTTTTTTCTTCAGAATTTTCATCTGTACAAGTTTAATATCGGAGAAATACCAACGATTTCTCTTTGCTTATCCAGGAAATTACTTCCAACATCTTGACAGACATCTTGAAAAATCAGACATCACATAATTATCTTTTCCCGGATGACGTAGTAAGAATTCGTAGTGTGTCGTTTAAACCCATTGAAGCCAACATAAAAAGTTTTGTAAATAAAAGAACATACATTATAGGCAGTTTCAATAAATACAAAGGTGAAGAAGAAGTCGATATTAATGACCTTGACCTTTGTAACATTCGTCTGATGACCTTAGCAAGTTTCTATACCTGTAAGGATGGACTGGCATACCAACTTGACATATTTGGGAACAGAACAGAAGACTTAGGAGATCATCTGTACTATCACATACAGAAAATCAAAACCATGACAAACAGTCACGTCAGTTCTTGTGTAATGACTCCAAACGATATGGAATTTGGAGACGTTGAGAAACATTTCAAGCCTTACGGCATCTCTAGGAAGCAAATATCATTCTGGGAGACACACATTTTCACCAAAACTCTGTAAAGCCTTGACTTGTCAGAATATATATAGTGCATTATCAAAATTAGTTTTATAATTTTAAAAAAATTACAAGCTACAATTATTCATAACTGTGTCCATTTAGAGTGTATATAGGTTTCTGTTGATTTCACAACTCCATCTATTGTGATCAACGTCGGCTGGTAAAGTACATATTTTTGATTCAATATCGCACCAATTCTTCTCAGAGAAACCTGTAATATACTAGTCGTGTACATTATTTAGTAGTGGTTTTAACTTAAGGGATTCAATAAACGGTCGTATAATTTGCTTTACTGTAGGACAATATCGCACTAATTCTTCACAGAGAAACCTGTAATATACTAGTCGTGTACATTATTTAGTAGTGGTTTTAACTACTGTTGTATAATCTGCTTTACTGTAGGACAATACTGCGTGTGTTAATTGATAGTTAAAAGGGATGATCTAGGTTTATTGTGAATATGATGCATCTATTATTATAAATACATGTAGTTACACTTATTTCTTAGTGAAATTAATATTACCACTTTAGTCGAGTCTTACGTTCTTTATTCACTTAATTCTAATATCGACGAGATTTTTTTGGGGAAAATATGTCTTTGTACAAAACTTGTTTCTCCACAAGATCTGAAGACGTTTATTTTCCGGGTTGTCGTGTAAATAGTAAGCTGATTCACGGTCGATCGTTTCATGTTATCTCTTTGTCGCATCTTTTGACTAATAAAGACAGCTTACGAGGACGGAAATAATACAATATGATGCCACCAGGAAATTTTTTCTCGATAATAATGATTAGACCGTATCGTCGTGTAACTGTATACTAAACGGGAAATAGGAGTCAACAGTGAATCAGAATTAAATTAGCAACATTTAATTTCTTCATTACAAACTTACAAGTTGAATGAGGAGTTTAGATATGTGATGGGCAACAACAATAATGTATTTATGTATAAAGATTTTATGTGTTTTACTATGTTATGGTGGAACTCAAGCTGAAGGTAAGGGCTAGGTCCCACTGGGCATTTTTTTGCATAGGCGATGTGCTTCCGATGGAAATTGATGAGTCTCAGGAGGCATCTGGAACGGGTGTCCCGAGGAAGCTTCAGGAACGTCGCGAGCCATCTGGAACCATCGGGAGGTCTTAGGAGAACTGTTGCATTGAAATATTTGCTGATGTGTCCCCAACGTTTTGTCGGAAAAACAGGCCGGGGCGTACCCCCGGGGATTTCCAGATCAACGGGGAACTTCTGGGAATGCTTCTCTGGAGCTTCCGCGAAATATTGTTTCCCCCAAGCATCCGTTGTTCAAAACGAAATGTACTTTATGCAGAATCCAGCCAATCCGCGCATTGGGAATAGTACACTTTTCATACGTCGCCGAAATTTTGGGGATGCAACCCCGTGATCGGGAATTTGTTACCGAAGGTCATCGAATGGTCCGGCTCCAATTTTTAATTGAAACAGAGTAATAATTCTGGAAATATCTTTACTTAAAAAAAAAAAAAACTTGGATGATAATTGATCTGTTATATCTGTTTCAAAGTCAAGCTGGTATCTTAAATGAGAAATCCCTATAGTTTAGTGTATATAAAACTTGGATGATTTTGGATCTCATACATGTAGTGTAAGTGTGTGGATAACCATATCTTAACGATATTCCTTAAATGACTTCCATAACCGTGTTAAGGACACCAAACCACCATTATGTCGTCACATTTTGCTTTTGATTTGACATGCTTAAACTACTTTGATTTACGGTTTTCCTTTACTGCGATTTAGAGGACATGTTTGAATATTGTGACTTATGCTCTAATAGACTTGCTTCCCATCTCAGATTGGACGGAAATGGCTTTAAACGTCTCATCAGCAATATATTTTGGTTATTTGTTTTCTTGGGTAATTTGTCCCGGGGATTTCAAACTGCCATTAGGCTTTTATTTTATGTGCATGCAATGTTCCTCTCACACGCATTTGTGAATATCACGAAGATTCTTGCTGGGACATTCCAGTCGAGAGCCCGATCAGTAGTATACCATACTTACTCGAATTTCTCGTCCCGTAATATTAAAGAAATTAAATACAGATTTAAAAAATAATATTTTTATTTAGTTCGTCTACCACCAACTATATCACACGTCGAACAACCTCTATATTTTCGTGATAGTACAGATGTTTACATGTTTTGTGAAGCACATGGAATACCCAAACCTCGGTAAGTTCTCGTATTCTTACTCTACGGAAGATGCATTTGACATTGTATTAGAACCAGTGACATACCTATGGAACTTTTTTTTAACCATTTTGCTACAATCACAAAAGTTTCAATCCCCGCTTTTCGTAGAAAGCAATGGGTTATTTAAATAGATTTTTTCCGTGGGTCTGTCTGTCCTTAAAATATTTTGGAACACGATAAATCTCCTTCTACATGTACTTGAGGTAGAAAGTTCAAACCCGGTTTAGATGTTCAATATAGGCGGATGACGTCAACTGCCAGAATATCGCCAGTCAAGAGACGACAAGCCTCAAGATCGGTCGCATTATTTCTGTAACGCCCTTCTTGTTTATTTCTTTTTTTCATTTTGAGAGAAGCATGTATCATTACAAGACCTGGCTGACAGATCCATCCGCTTGATTTGATATTTGTTGTTTATTTCTTGAAATCTCTATGTAGTTTGTCTTGTCCGCAGGTTTGTCTTGTCGGTTTTGTTTTGTGTGTAGTGCGGTCCTCCTGCACTTTCTATTCGATGTCATTTTGATGTACATCAATGGAAACGAGTCACTAAGGTTCTAAGAAAAAGATGAAATTATCACAAAATAAGGACAAATTTAGATGCTCATGTCATGGACTAAAAGTCTATATTTGCCCTTTACTGTGATATAGTGTACTTATATCTTCATTTCTTCTTGTGGAGGGGATCACATAACCATGCGTTATCTTATAGATATCAAGCTTTCTTAAAACTAAAGACATTTTGGAATTTGGATATTTCTTGTCTGTTTTATGTATTTCTGTTCACAGTTTTAAATGGAAACGTAATGGAATTGTGATAACAAAAAATGATTTTATGGAATTTAGCCCAGTTTTAGGGAATTTAACCATTTCCAACGCCACTCATCATGAAGAAGGAGACTATCAGTGTGTAGCTGAAAATAAATGGGGTACAAGTCTGTCCACCCCAGCACCACTTGTCTATGCAAGTAAGTTTCCACACTCTGTTTAGATACATTTAACACCATTTCTTCTGTCCACATCATGTCTCGTTGTGGGGCCACTGTGACACTCGCTAAGCAAGAGGTCCCGAGTTCGACCATTGTTGGTTGAGAAAGTACATTGGTTTTTTCCAGTGTGGTTTCACCTTGTCAATGGTGCGGGGCGAAGGGCCCTGACTTCGGTCTTTCGAATGAAACGAAAAACCGATTTACCGTGTACACGTTGGCGTGCACGTAAAAAAACAACATATATTTTCTATTTTCTCTTTAGAATCGCCCCATGACTAATTTAGCTTTGGCTCCTAAAACTCTAGGTTCAAAATTTCGCTTCTACACCCCTTCCAGATTGTCATTATGAGTTATTAATATTATATCAATTATATATATTTAGGATTAGACCCATTTAGTACAAAAACGGATCAACAAACATATAATGTTAAAGAGGGTGAGAGTGTAAGTATAACATGTGAGAACATACCAGAATCCAGACCTGATCCCATTTTCTCCTGGTATCTCAAAACAATTTTTACTGGTAAAAGTGATGCTACAGAAATTAAAGAAGGAGACAGCTTAGCTATAGATGTAAACGGTATAGTACTAGTATATTTTTATTAAGTAGACAGGACAATCTCGGGGACAGAAATCCAAATTTGGAACGAATTTGGAGGTCTTTGGGGAGGGACCACCCTTTGTAGAATGAGTTCCATGTCAGTTGTTTTGGGGTAATGTCTTTGGCGTGTCAGAATTTTAAGGATGATATTGTTACAGGTACGAATATATTTCTAAAGTACCGGTCAGGATCATCATAAGAATAATATGTATCGAGAACTGATCGGGGGAGGGGGGCAAGCGCAACCATTTGTTTAAACCAGCTGTTTTTGCATTTGAAGAAGATGCTGGAGTCGTTTTGGGGATCTACCTGGCCGATATCCATTGTGTGAGCTAATAGTTCGTGGTATTTAAACATTGATTGGCCAAATTTTTATTTCTTCAGGGACTCTCCATTTGCTGAACACTAAACTAGATGATATTCAGTCGGATAAAGTATATCTCTGCGGCGTTACAAACAAAGTACTAAACACGATTGTTCTTGGAAGTGAAACACGTATAACGATGGAGGAAAATACTCAAGGTACCATCAATAATAAATTTGTATTTAACGAATTAATTTTAGAGTCAGTCTAAAAATGTTTGTATTCTTTCTTAATAGATCAACCGATAACACTTCTTAATTATTTGTCATGTTCGCATAGTTAAATATTGATTGATTTATATTCTCCGCTTTCTATTGTATCATAAAATCCGAGGTTCCACATGTTTTTATATTCTAACACACGATCAATAATAGATCTTTTTGAAAAAGTATATCTGCCTCCGTCTAATGTTTGCCCATAATTAAAGAAACCGTTGGTGATACCATCAGTGCAGTACTGTCATAGCCTTTAATATAGCATATCATTGCTGGAAAACAGCAACCGTCCACATTTGTTTAATTGCCGTAATTAAGCGGTAGTTTTTTCTACATTTAGTCATAATTTAGGATGACGCACACGTTAAAGATGCATTTCGAAAAAGTATATCTGCCATGCCCATGTCTAATTGTTATCCTTAATTAAAGAACACGTTGGTGATATCATCATTGCTGCACTGTCATAGCTTTTAATATGGCATATCATAACTGGAAAACAGCAGTCGTCCACATTTTGTTTAATTGTCGAAATTAAACGGTAGTCTTGTTACTACGCTTAGACATTATTTAATATGGCGTGCACGTTAAAAACTCATTATGTAAGAGTTAAATCTGCCTATTGCTGGTCTTTTTTCTGGCTTCAAATGTTGTATAAATTATTATTTAGATATGTATGCACATGGTAAATTCATAATCAACTCTCTATGCCATCGGATGGCTTAGAACTATATTGCCATTAATAATTTATTAATAGAATAGATAATCGAGACTTCGTTTATTATCATGTCATTGGTACTTGACAGTCGAGATTATTTACGCTATATCTTGTCAAAACTTCAAACACTCATAACTTTGCTCATAATAAATTAATTTGGCTGATATTTTCAAAATGTAATCATTTTTCTTTAACTATTCGGTGTGGTCTCTGTTAGTCGGCATTGTTACCTATAATTTATGTTTTGGTGATTTATCACCACCAGAGGTCATTGGAGAACCTCTGTTCAATCATCGATCTGGATCGATAGGACACTTATCTCGCCAAGATGCTTACAACTCGGTAGCTGTGATGGGTTCAGAAACGCCTTGCCAGAAAAAATATATTGTTTGAATGCTCCAGTGTGTATTAAAGGAAACAGAAAATCTCATCTACTGCGATGTAATTTTCGCCGATTGTCTCTTAATCTGTCCCAGCCAACAGCAAATAGCTCCAAATTCCATATACGACAATGTGATTTTCAACACCTCTCCTCCAGTTACAATTCCATTAATCCTGCCTCCCCGACTGAATGCTTACCAACATTCCCAGCACTTGTTGTCAGCACTCAAAGTAAAATATCAAAATAAAAACCCGTAATTCGTACCTGTACGTTCCACTGCTATCGATCAGTTTATTTTCAATTACAATTTCAGTTTCAAGTACAAAACCTCATTTACTGACGGCAACACATGAAGTGACAGAGGTGATTGGTAAAACTGTTGTTTTACAATGTATTTTCGGCGGAAGGTTTGTCTTTTTAAAATTAAGTTGTTGTTTTAGCTTACAGTCTGGTGGGATGTATATATAGCAGATTTTTGGCCGCATTTTAAATACACACCGAGAGTGTCCTCACGTTGCAAAAATCTCGAAAAATATATATGCAACACTCTAACCTTGATTACTTTTCATTATTACGGGGGGGGGGGGGGGTGGTGGTGGCCGAGTCAGATGTTGTGGTTTCGATTTCCCGCTTGTATGTAAAAGGAGCAGGGTCGCCTGTTTTCTCCGGGTCCTCCCACTGCTAAAGACCCCTACACGGAAGAGAATTATTGAAATACATTTAAACCATATTTTAGTCCCGAAATGACCTCGCTTGTGTCGAGTGGACGTTAAGCCCCATTTCCCTCTCTCCCATCGAGAATATTATATACGAAACATTATAGACAGAAAGGGGAAATGTCCTAATTGAGTGCATCAAGATAATTAATTTGTATAATCGAAAAAAAAATGTAGCCTAACTAGTATTCTCGGAAAGAAAACTACTACTAAACCAAAAGATGGCGCTCCGAACCGTAGCCTATAGTTACTAAAATCTCAAACCCCGCGTCTTATTCTAAATATTACTATAATTCGGGATTGTTCACATTAGATGTTTTTGGAGCTGCATTAATTGATACATGTATTCACAATAGGCCAGATCTGAAACATGCAACTGCTGGCCTGTCATGTGCATTGATAAACTATCACGTTCAACCTGGTGTACACGAGCTGTCCTGGTGTACACGAGCTGTGTTTAATTGTCCATTAATTGCTAAAAAAAATCGGAGATGTCCGCATCACAGCGTCGGGCAACTGGAATCGACGTTTGTCTAAGGCAACGAGTTGACAAATGTCAAATAAGTACAAAAAGTCCTGTGTATTGGGTAGCAATCTATTGACTAATCAGTTGTAAAAATGAACCCAGCTATAATTTTTATATACGGAATCGAATTAAATTTAATGTTAATATATTTATAGCCCTGTGTCTGATATCAAGTGGTTTAGCTCATCTGGAGCGGAATTGGTAACAGATGGCGTGAAATATGACGTGGTAAAGTTCGGGCGACAACTTACGATACAAAATATTGATGAAACTGATGAAGGGTCGTATTCGTGCGTAGCGTCAAATGGTGAAGCAAGAGCTAACGTTAAACTGAATGTTACATGTAGGTACCGATATTTTAAAAGGCATTATCACTTTTATCAAGAAAATAAATGCAATTATTTTTTCGATCAGTAAAATGACCTGAACACTGAACTATTTGGCAAGCTTCTTTTAATCACTTGGGAGCCGCTGTGGCTCAGTGCGTAAGTCACTGACTCGCCAACTGGGAGGTCCAGGGTTCGCTACCGGTGTTGGCTGAGCATGTTACTTGGTGCAGGACGGAGTGCCTGGCAAGAACATTGTCTATTCGTTCGGATGGGACAAAAACCGAGGCTCCATGTATACATTAGTGTACAGTAAGGAAACAGTTGGAATTCAAAAATAGAACAGGCCACAGTGCCGCTGTCCAGGAAATAAAACCCTCATTGCAAAATGAATGACGTAATCCCATCTACATTAGCCCAGTCGGTGCTGATATGTAGGAAGTTAAACCCCATTCCACTTATATTCCCTTTCTTTTCTTTTAATTCCTTTAAAAAATACCCCTATAGTATATCTTAATAGGTGTTCGAATTTTTTAAAAACAAAAACAAACATATTAACTGACTTCAGTATTCGAAAGAGTAACTTGAATAAATTTATACCGAAACACGAAAATACACGTGCTGCGTACAGAGAAAGCATATTGTACGACTGTCTTGTCATTCTTCGGAAGTGGTCAACTTTAGAATATGAAAATGCATCATAATCTGGACGTAATCAAATTCTGTTTGACCGAATCCAAAAAAAATCAATTGATAGACCAATTTGTCATCAATTTCGAAAACAGAAAACTCTTTCTTTTATATACGTTATTAGCTGCTTACAGTTATCAAGGAATTCAACATTACGATGCATGTAAGACTTATGCCTAATGTTGACATTTTTCAGCTCCACCGATTTGGATAAAAACCATTATCTCTCGGCATGCCGTGGAAGGTGATGATGTGACATTTTACTGCAAGGCAAGGTCCGCCGCCGGGGAACGTCCAGTATCAATGACTGAGTGGTATATAAATGGTGAATCATTAAGCTTACAGAAAGGTGAGTCATATCGATTAAAGCCCAACGTTGTAGTTGATTTAACAGGCTTTGGTGGGGTGAAGACCATTTTGAGGGGGCATGTGTGTGTTTTTGTGTTAGGGTAAGGGGAAAATTTAGAAAATGGTGATTTCTTGAACATATCAGAAATGAAATATAATAACAATAATATTGCCACAATTCTATGCTAAAATATGTTGTTTTCAGGGGACACCCAACTTTTAGAAGAAACAATATCTATTTTGTGAGGGCATGTCGGTTAATTATTATCCTTTCATCATCTGGTTTCTTTTTTGTTTTGTTTTTTTAGAAGCGGAAAATGGTCGGCAGATCGAACTCAACCCAGATCAAACTACCCTCACTATCAAAGGAGTTTCACGTGATCGAGACATTATGTGTATCCAGTGCCGATTGTCGAATAGTGTTGGCTCAATTTTTAAAGATGGTTTCCTGAATGTCTTAAGTAAGATTTTTGAAAACATCTCAATGCCAGAAATTTATGGATGACAGGGGAGATCACTGCATGTTATTTATCGAGCGTGTGTACCTGGCTAATACATTCTGATTAAAACACAAATCATATTTCGTTTCGTTTTTTTATAGTTCAAAATGTCGTTTTACATGTCTTTATTACACTAGGATCTGGAAGAGTTATTGTATAACCCGCGTCTTGGTTGAGCCAATCGAACGGGGTTAGCCAATGAAACGGTCTGTTGCTGCGTGTTCATGGCGTGTAGTGCGCATAACTGTGGGTAGACATTCGCAGAGAAGACAAAGCAAAAGTTGTATTGTCAATTACCCACTAGAAACATCAACGCTGATTTGTATGATCAAAAGCTTCGCACATGACCCCTGACGCGACCTCCCACTACAACCGGTCAGATCTTCATGTAGTAGAGGTAATCGAAAGTATAAAATAACGAAACGAAATATAGCTATCTGGTGACAGACATGATATGCAAATTGCTATGAGAGAGATTTTGTCCGGACAGCGACGCTACAACCTACTCTTATTTCGAGGATTCTTCGACTTGACCCTTGCCAACCCCTCCATCCTGCACCATGTCACAAGATGAAACAAGGAATTGTTTAGGCCAACATCGTGTTCGAGCCCGTTTTTCCTATTTAGGGAGCCGGTGCCTTACTCGCTGAGCTACCGTGGCCACTCTGTTTGATATGCAAGAACTGTCACTGGTAGAGCACGGTTGTCATAGAAATTTGGTTTGATTGCAATAATCTGGTGTAAAATAAGAAAACACAGGCAAAAAGAAATTGTAATCCAATATGAGTTCGATTGGTAACAATGTAATATAATTTATTTTCAGAACCGATCAAAATCTGGTCCCGACCACCGAGTACTATTATTTACAATCAAGAAGAAGTGATTGATTTTTCTATAAACGCTTCAACAGATCCTAGTCGCACAATTGACAGAAAATGGTTCTTGAATAACAATGTCCTGGTGCCTTATCAAACATATTTCGAATATGACAGTGTTACAGGGACATTTCTATTTAATACGACTTTAGTGAAACCAGAAAATTTGGAAGCCATGATGGGACTGTACACGTGTCAATTATCACATCCAGACCAAACCGTAAACGTCACGTTCACTCTCAAAACTAACGGTAGGTTCAGCTTTGATAGCCTAAATCCAAAAATAGTATTGCTCGCGAATGAAGAATTCATCAAACCTTATTTGTTAGACAAGAATCTGGATGCGGTGCCTTGATATCAGCACCATTACAATAGGCCAGAGTAGTAAGTGATGCTGTCAGGCTTGCGAGGTCCAAACAATAAAATCTTTCGGGGTGGGTGTGACTTATGGTTATAAACATTATTTGACAAAAACAATTCTCTATCTCGGATTAAATAATCTCTACAGTCACTAAAAGAAAAGCTACTCCAAATTGATCGAAAACGTGTTATCCAGAAATGTGGCATTCGCGATTCGTATTGAGGTTTGGGTCCCTGAACGCAACTGATATCGAGATCAAGAGGATCCTTTCTTTCCTGTTTAGCCCCTTACATACTAATTTGATATAGCGTAATCAGGATTAACATATGGCGTAAGATGATGTAAGTGATGATTATATATAATTGACCTGTTTTTTCTTTAAAGATACATCGGACACATCCGATTCTATGGCAGATCTAGCAAAAACATCTAGTAATATTTATATCATAGGTGTAATATGTGGTGTTTTAATACTGGTCTTAGCCCTTGTCGTCATCCTCGTGCTATGGAAACAACGTAACCCAAAGGGTGTTTATAACTGTAAGTAACCTGGCTATCATTCTAATTAAAACTGCGAGATGTTCTTTTACTTCCATGTATTCTTTACATCGACAGCTACCGACATGATTAATAAAAACGGTAGGTGTTGCGTTGGCTCTAGGAACAGCTCGCTAAACAACCAGTTGGAATTTGAAAAAAGAGTAGGGCGTAGCGCCGTTGTCCGCGGGGAAATCCCCCATAGCACACTATGTAGTGTGTGTATGCGTAGTTGCACTCAGTAGCATTATAGGGAAAATTTTAGACTGGATTATACTACATAGAAGCAAGAATGTTTTCGTCTCCTCCGACTTACAATATGGATTCAAACCTAAGCATTCTACTATACATTGTTCATTTGTTTTAAATGAGGTTATAAGGTATTATCACAATAAGAAATCAGATGTTTTTGTCTGTTATTTGGACGCAAGTCGGGCCTTTGACCGTTTAAATTTTATCAAGCTCTTTAAGTTACTTGTCGAAAGAGGTATATGCCCGTTAATTGCTCGCTTATTGTTAAATTTATATACCACTCAAAATGTTCAAATCCGTTGGGCTCAATGTACAACACAGCCTTTTTGTGTCTCAAATGGTGTTAAGCAGGGTGGAGTTCTTTCCCCAATTTTATTTAGTATATATTTTGATGAATTGTTGTCTCGATTAAGAAACAGCAAATTTGGTTGTCATGTCGGTCACGTTTATACTGGAGCTCTGGCTTATGCAGATGATGTGACGCTTGTTACGCCATCTCGTCATGCCCTGACAAAACTCTTGCAAATAGCCAATGATTATGCTCAAGAGTATGATGTAAACTTCAACCCAGAAAAGAGTAAACTTGTTTTTCTGAATCACGATAGAACCAGGAATGACGATATAAATATTGACAGAATATTGTTCAATGGAAAATATATAGAATTAGTCAAATCTGAAATTCACCTAGGTAATTTACTTGATCACGATACAAAAGAATCTCAAGTCAATAGATGTATCAATAATTTTTTATCACGGGTCAATATAACTTTAAGTGAATTTCGATATGCCTACTCTTCTCTTAAATATAAATTGTTCAAAACTTATTGCATGCCTCTGTATGGATCCCAATTGTTAGACTATTCGCATAAGTCAATTGGTAAGCTGTATTGTTCATGGAGAAAGTGCATTCGACGATTATGGAATTTACCTCAACATGCCCACAGTAACTTATTAAATCTGATATGTTCGGATTATCCTATAAAAGTTCAGTTATTGAAACGTTTTGTTAAATTTATTCACACAGTACTTTGTAGCAAGAATCAGGCTACTTTTATATGTGGTCAGTTAGCTTTAAATGGTAGTTTGTCGTCTGCATGTAATAACTTGAATTTAATTTCATATAGATATAATATCAATAAGTACGACATAGGTAAATTGTGTGTCCATACTATACTACAGAAACTAACATCAATCGATAATGTTGATGATGTTACTATGCAAACTGTAAGTGCAATAAATGATATGATTTTATTAAGGGATCAAACGTTTTGTAAAACGGATAAAAACAATTTAAATGAAATTATTCATCACTTGTCCACATATTAGACATTTAACTATGAGAATGTATATTTTTTGTATATTTATTACTTTTCTCATAGTTTTGTAAGTATTTGTGTATTGTGTACTCAATTTAGTACGAAATAAATATATTATTAGCCCTTAGATGAATAAAACTAACTATATTGAATAGCAATAATAATTATTACTTAGCTTTTATTACAGCGACGTTTCAACTAGGCTTCCCTGGTCTTCGTCAAGCATTAGACTAGTTGATGCAGAAAAGTATGATGTTAAACCGGATTTCAGTTCATTTAAGGAATGCGTCTTCTGTACCCTTGATAGCAGCATAATAATAGATCCGAAATGAAATGGGGTTTAATTTCCTACTGTTCTGCTTCGACTGGGGTAATGAAGACGGGCATGTCATACCGTGTTCTATAAGTATGATATTGTCCGGACAGCGGCATACTCTTACCTTAAATTCAAACTGTCAAGGGATCTTTTACGCACGCGCCAATGTATACACGGGATCTCGGTTTTTCGTACCATCCGAATGGCTATATTTTTTTACTTGTCAGCCCTTCAGTCCTGCACCACTGACCAAATGGAATCACGACGGAAAATCCCGATGAAATTTCTCGGCCAACGCGGGGATCGAACACGGGACGTCCAATTAGCGAGCCATTGTCTTACTGACTGAGCCACCTTGGCTCCCTAATCCGAAATGATTTTTCTATACCGACTGGGCTCATGATGATGGGCATACGCCATACAGTGTGCTATGACGGAAAGTTATCAAGGACACTGACAGCAGAGCTGCGGCCTACTTTTATATTGAGTTCCAACTGTCAATGGTTCTTTTACGTACATGTCAATGTGTACAAGAAGTCTCGGTTTTTCGTCCCATCCGAAAGACTAGATAGCTGTCAGGTCCTAGTCCTGCTTCACTGACAAGGGGAAACCACACCGGAAAATCCCGAGCCAGCGTCTTACTCACTGAGCACCACGACTCCTTCCGTGGCCGACCGAAAATCAAAGTCGTTCAAATGATTTTGTGGAATTTTCTGTATCGAGCTACGTATACAACTGACGAAAAAATCAGTACATAATATTGGCATAAATTTAATAGACAAATAAATATTTTAAAATAATTAGAAAAAATCTATATGTTAGTCGTTCCATTTTTGTGTTTTACAGTGGGTGCTGAAGAGAAGAAGAACTACAATCTAACACCGATCGATGAATTGGAAACAGAAGAACTTCGTATCGACAATTGAATACTTTGAATGAAAGTACACGCCAGTAATACTCTAAATAGGTCGTAAAGCCCGTACGTCAATAATACTCTAACCCGATCACAAGACCTATACGCCATTAATACCCTGTCAGTAATACGTTGCCAAGACCTGGGTCCGTATTCAAGGTTTTCTTAAAGTTGAATAAAAATACTTAAATTGTCCGCTTAACTAAGTGTGTTATATTAAATCGGTATTCATAGGCTGTATGTTACATATCCTTGGCTATGCGAAAAACTTAATACACTTAAATTATGGAATACCCCCAATCGCCAAAAAGCATGAATTTCTAACTTATGAAATAACCCACCACTGCCAAAAATCACGAATTTCTAACTTCACACGCAAGTTATGTCCCATTAAGAGCACTACTCACACTAAACTTGGACTGTCTGTTTACAGTTAGCTACGCTTGAGAACACACACAAAGCTAGTTGACCGACATTTTAATACCTAAATCGACGATATATATATAGTCGACAACTCAAAGTATAATTCGATAATTATAAAAAAAAATGCTTATTACGCTTCAAATTAATATCATTTAGTCTGTTCTTTTCATTTTAAAAAGCAGACATCTTTAATACATTTTCTCTTTTAATATGAACTTAAACAATATATAATATACAGTAGAATCTGTATGAGCAGCCACTCCTATTCAGCGACATCTCCTTGTAAGCGGTCACGATAAATTCCCCCCGTAGAAATTCTGTTGTTTTATCTCTTTATTCAACGGTCACTCCTCTAACGCGGCCAGCGGTCACTATTTTACTAATAAATTCAACAAAACATCGCCCATTCAACGGCCATTGTTGAATGATACCATCTTGTCGTTCTTTGTAACACCCCCGCTAACCCGGGATTATCTGTTAATTAATCTTTTGTTTTATTAAACGACTAACCTGATCATTGTTTTCACGCGTAACGACACATTATTTGATACTGATTGAATAAAATAAAAGTACCGAGTTTTGTCACGATCATCTAGTATCTCTCTTAGCGCCTCCTATAATATTACATACAGAGTTACACCCCCTGTAAATAGGTGATAAAATTGGCGATGTTTTTTGTTCATGTGCTTTTTTGATAAAATAAAATGAATTCATCGATTTTCTTCACAAAAATGGATAAATATTATCGAATGCATCACAATGGTAGACAGTAGTATCGAAGGTTGGTACAAAATGACAAGTTTACAGAAGTTATGTTCGAGATTTGAGTAAAGAATTTTCGTCCGGCGCAAGATTCAGCGACGGCCAAATTTACCGCTTCCAATGCATCCAAGCGTAATATTTAATTTATGTCGGCACAAAAAGCAACGAGATTTTATTAAGAGGCCACTCCCGTTAACTTATGTCCGAGATTTGAGTAAAGAATTTTCGTTCGGCGCAAGATTCAGCGACGGCCAAATTTACCGCTTCCAATGCATCCAAGCGTAATATTTAATTTATGTCGGCACAAAAAGCAACGAGATCATAAAATAAATATTTTTATTTATCTTTTGTGTTCTTTTAAAATAAATTTATTTTTTAAATAAACAAATATATATTTTCGTTGGACTTGGTTTGTGTTAAATAGATGTTGAACCCCCCTTGCCATTCTCTCTGATACCAGAAAAAAATAAAAGCCAATGCTGAAAGGTTACTTGGTAGCTTAAAATGGTTGTGCCTGTTGTCTAACATACATTATGCAGGAGCTTAATCTGGCTGTAGGTCTTTCTTCAGGCCTGAAATGTTATCTAAATTATTAATTAACTTTTCCAGACCGTAATCAACCCTCGATGTCATCGCTAGCCTGCGATTTTACTGGATTATTTTATCGTATCGACTATAGTATTGATGATCGAGGCTAGGCCCAAAATTCAATCGCTAAGTTCTCGATTCAGAGAAGATCAATTTGATTGAAATTCCCAGCAAATTCCCTTTACATTATCTAGTTTTTAACTATTATAGTGAGAACTGACAGCTCTTTATCTAATCTCCCATAATGTATCTATAATAGAGCCTCACCACATGTGTCTAACGGTCCAACTATCGGCCTTGTCGGTGCTTCTTTGCAGCCAAAAGCGAATAGTGGGCGCATAGAAATTCAGATAGCAGTCTGCCCGGTAGCCCAAGACTGGGGAGGGCAATAGAAACACCACCAGGTTCCGACATCGTATCTGACCCAAAGTCGACAGCCGATATTTCTGTCGGGCAAAAAAACACCTCCAGTGGTACAACAGACAATCCTCACCATGCGGCGAGTGGGTGCGGAGGCGTATTCTGAGGATTTGGACCAATTGTGCATAGAAAATCCGACAGCAGACTACGACTGGGGAGGGCGCATTTATTGTGGGCTGTCACGGTGGCTAAGTGAGTAAGTCGTTGGCTCGCTAACCTAGAGGTCCCGTGTTCGATCCCAGTGTTGGCCGAGAAAGTTCATCTGGATTTACCAGCGTGGTGCAAGACTGAGGGCCTGGCAATAATCAACGTATAGTCATTCGAATGGGACGAAAACCGAGATTCCGTGTACACATTGTCATGCACGTAAAAGATCCCTTAGCAGTTGGAATTCGATGTAATTTAAGGCGGCTGCACCGCTTTCCGGGCAAAATCTCCCTCAAAGCACACTGTATGGGGTATGCCCCTCTTCATTAGCCCAGTCAAAACAGAACAGTGGGATGTTAAACCCCATTTCATTTCATGTCATTAGCCATTTTGACTGTCCACTTGTACTTGTTGGTGTTGAATGATGAAATTGTCTACGCGATTATACACAACGAGACACGGGAAATTTAAAAAAAGCCAATAGGACTCTAGTATACCGTTAGCCAGTGCACCCCGACAGACGATCGGTGTATATGTGCGGCTAGCGTCCCAACAATCGTTGTCGTTGGCATCAGTGGCAGAGTTTCTAGTGGCCATCTTGTATTTTTCGGCCATATTGGCCAAACTAGTGACCGGATGAATTTTTGATGTATTTCGATTCAGAGACCCTTAAAACATAGGAATAGCCACCTTAGAAACATATATCAACTATTTTATATTTTTGGCGCCAAATTTGGCCTCTATTTTGAATATGGCACTCTCGCGGATTCAGCAAGCATTTTGAGACAGAGCCAGGGTTTTTTTATTCAGAAACCACCTGCAAAGCATATCACTGACAGAAGCGGGAGTCGGGAAATAATCAAGCATAAAACGAAAAAAAACTTTCGCAGGCTACCACCTGATGAGGAGTCTTGCAAACTTAAACTCACCAGAGCTGAAATGAAATGAAATGAAATGGGGTTTAACGTCCTACTGTTCTGCTCCTATGCTGGGCTAATGAAGACGGGCACACGCCATACAGTGTGCTATGAGGGAAATTTTGCCCGGGCAGCGGCACTATCGCCTACTCTTATATCGAATTCCAACTGCAAGGGATCTTTTACGTGCATTCCAATGTATACACGGGACCTCGGGTTTTCGTCTCATCCGAAGGACTAGACAGCTGTCCTTGTCAGGCCCTCCGTCATGCATCACTGAAAAGGGGGAACCACGCCGGAAAATCTGGATGAACTTTCTCGGTCAATGCAGGGATCGAACACCCGACTTCAGGCTAGCGAGCCAGCGTCTTGCCCACTTAGCCACGTGATCCCCTCTCACCAGAGCTACTTTTCGGGCATATTTAATGCTTAATTACTCAAAGTCTAAGATCGCACACTCTCCCATTAGTAATGGTTGGAAACTGCTCCAATCTGGACAGCGCGTGTCAAGTAGATATGAGAATCATGCAGCATGATCAGGATGTTTAAGCGACTTACTTGTTCATGGCAGTGATAATGAAAGTGATGACGATTAATTCCGACGTAACTTCAACTTCGGAGGAACAATCTGAATCTGAACAATCAGAACTGGATCTATCTTTCTATCTTTTGAATCGGGTGACTGTGATTCTGACGAGTAACGCTTTGATTTTAAGTGGGTAAGTTTACGTCGATTATCGTGCGTGATTAAATATTACATGGATCCATTATAAAGCGCTGATAAAATTAATATCAATATTGACTACAGCGTATATCAGGTTGTAAATATCGTTGAGTACCTTCATTTCTTGTACTCTTATTGTTGGTTGCCATACATATACACAATTTCATCAAAATTGAATACCTCGACCCCGAAAACATACAACTTGGGTATAGTTGATAAAACTATTTTCCAGATCAAAAATGGCGGCCATCTTGAATTGTTTGGCCATATTAGCAAAACTAGTCGCCGGATGGATTTTTGATATTTCGTTTCAGAGACCCTTACTCAGTAGCCTATATTAAATAATTTTATATTTTCCCGCGAAATCTGACCGCCATTTTGAATTGGACCCTCTAGCGGATTCTGCCAGCGTTTTAGAGAGAGGTACCCAAGCTTAATCGCTTCAACAGGTTTTTGTCATATAGAAACCACCTTCAAAATAGTAATTAAGTGTTAACTCAAGGAAAATACTAAGGGCTGTCAGGCTGACAGAGAAGTCGATCATTGCATCACCGATTGTTGTATACTTTTCTGTTAGTTTCCGTAGTTTATTAGAGGTTCCAACTAATATAGCTTTAGTTTTTTTCATCATTCAAGTTTAGACTGTAGTATGCCATCCATGACTTAATGGACTGGGGAACATGCTGCTGTACGATTTAAGGATTCTTTAATTTGAGTGGGGTTGAAAACGTCAATTAGCTGTGTGTCGTCGGCGTAGGAGTAATACCGGATACAGTCTTGGTCGGTAATTATACCAAGGGGTGTAAGTGTATAGTAGAAATAAAACAGGACCAGACACTGATTCTTGTGGCACCCCAATGTGACGTCATCTGATTTTCTTTTGTTGACCAGAACAGATTGGGTTCTGTTTCTCAGATACGACGAAAACCAGGTTAGAGGTGTACCGGAGATCCTAAAATTTCTGTGTCGGTGATTCAAAAGAATTTTATGATCAACGGTATCAAAAGCTTTTGATAGACCACGGAGGATTACAGCAGCTGTTTTACCATCATCAACAGCACATCTCAGATCATATATTACTCTAAGAAGTGTAGTTTTTGTGCTTTGGTTGGGTCGATTTCTCCAAAATTTTCGATAAAAAGGTAAAGCTTGAGACTAGACGACAGTTTTTGAGCACCTTAGGAGCTAGCGATTCTTTCTTAAGAAGTGGCTTTACTACAGCTAGACTAGTAGAATTTATAACTGTCACTATTATTGGAAGTAAAACATCCAAGTATTTCAGCAGAATATTCTTGATATCATTTTCACTGAAAGGCTCAAAATGTAAGAATGGTTCACAACAGGTTCTGCAATATATATAAGAGTATCTGACAGAGAATCCTGGTCGAGTTGATTCCGATTTTGAGAGTTCATTTGCTATAGTTGAAGCTGTGTTAGGCAATTTTGAAATAGATTTCTTGCCTGAAAGTGATTTCATAAAACCATGGTACTGAAAGGGATTGTTTTACAAAATAGCTAGTTTTACTGTTCCATAACAGATTTTTACAGGCATATATAGACTAGGCCAATGAAGACGGGCATGCGTCATACTGTGTGCTATGAGGGACGTGTTGATCGAACAGTTGCACAACGGACTAATTTTATTTAAAATTCCAACCGTCAAGAGTTCTTTTACGTGCATCTCGTTTGTCGTTTGTGCCAGGTGACAGAAAAACAGTGGAAGTAGACATTAGAGATGGGTGTAGTTGACATCAGGAGCTATACACCATATGACATTTACAACCGTGCCGAACAAAATACAGAACTGTACAAAATGGTCATGTCTGTTGGGAGATGATTTATTTTGCATTAATTTAACCTACGAATTGATCATACTCCACAATGAAAGTACATATACTACATAATTGCTGTCCAAATGCAAGTTGGGTGAAAACCTAATTTTGTATACCATTTATTCGAAAAATCCCAGTGAAGTAGGTCATGTGGGATATATAATAAACAGACAACTCGCGCGCTGTTTCGTTGGGCATCACTTAAAGGTTTAGCACGGATTTCACAATCCATTTTATTCATTTATATTAAAAAGACATTGACATACTTTTAAACACCCGTGTGTCCTTGCCTTATATCTACAGTATTAATAACAAAACACACACACACAAAACTCGAACAATTAGCACATTATTTATGAGAGCGTATTTGGGTCACTACTTATTGAGAAAATATCGCAACACATCGAACTAAAATATGTCAATTTCATGAGTTATATTACAAAAAATCGACTTTATAAGTCGACTCGACGCATTAAATTCACCTCTTAACGACAAAAACTATGTCGATATGTTTACATCATGCCAATTATAGTCGATTTGACTCGAAATCAACAAGTCATATTTTAATGCAATATATAGACTTAATAATGTCGCCGTTTTCAGTTATGTACCATGTGCTTAATTTCATTGCCCGAGTTTGCTTATTCATGAAAGTGCAGCCAATGAGTGAAGAATGTCTTTCGTTTTAGAGTTTTCTTATTGAAGATTTTAATTTGATTGTTATAATGGACATTAAAGAGAGAGAGAGGGGGGGGGGGGCGTAACGTCCCCTCGACA